GTCTTCAAGTTTAATAATAAGCTTAAAAAACGAATCGGTAAAATGTTCGTTTACGCCCGTATTCGGATACCCTCCGATGTGGGTCCCCAGGCGTCGCCCGCAAAATCGGTTTCAGTGAGAAGAATTATTTTTTGTAACTATGCAACCCAAAGTACGGATGCACGGCAGGTAGCGACCCAAGAGAGGAGAGATTATGGTCACTATAGGGAGTCCGTCATAAAATGCAAATCGGTAAACAACACCAGATAAGCTTATTTATTTTGAAATGAAGGGTACAGGGAAATAACCCATCGAAATCCATTTCTATCTATTTTGAAAGAAATTGAGTTGAAAGTTTAAAATGCTGCGGAAAATAGATTGAGAAACCCACAAGGTTCAGTCTAACACAACTTTTTATTTTCTTTATAATGTTTTAAAAATACATAAAATAAACTGTTTATGTTCAAATATAACAGCAAGAAAAATTGGTGGAAAGTTGTTTCGACAGAACTTCCCTCGCACGTACAATACAATGAAACATATCCAGCATTTTCGAGTTAAAAAACTTTAGGTACACAATTTTGTGATGAAATCATCAACATTTTGCAAGGACACGTAAATCAATGTGGATTAGACTAAAAATAACAGTATTCCAAAAATTTCTGGGAAAATGGAGTGAGTCGAGACTGATTTAATCAATAGAATAAATTGACTAATTTATTAATTTTTTTGAGCCACCTAGGTATATAAGCAAATCTAAAAAAATATGAATGCAATGATAAATTACAGGTAAAAGCTCATCATATTTTGCACATTTTTAGTAGAATTTATTCAGCAAAATTTTGAGATGATGTTATCAATTTTTTAGTAGCATAATCCTGAACTTGTGGTTTATAAATACATTATTGAGATTTGTCGACTTTTCGGTTTTTCGATTTTTCAACTTATGATGTTTCAATTTTTCAGTATTTTAATTTTTGGCATTTTCAATTTTCCCATTTTTAAAATTTTTGGATTTCTCCATTTTTTTATTTTTCGATTTCTCAATTGTCCGATGTTTCACTGATACGATTTCGCAATTTTCCAACTTTTCGATATTTTAATTTTTCAATTTTTACAATTCTAGATTTTTCGATTTCTCCAGTTTTCAGTTCTTCTATGCATATTTCAGTTTTTCAATTTTCGGAATTCATTATATTTCTGATTTTCCATTTTTTTTTAATTTTTCGATTTTCCAGTTTTTCGATGTTTCGATTTTTCAATTATACGATTGTTCAATTTCTCGATTTCTAAATTTTAGATTTTCCGATTTTAATTTTTTTTTATTTTTTCATGTTTGGACTATTTATTATTGCTAAAAATAAAAATAAAAAATAACTACTAAAATTGTGACTAAAAATATGTACCTAAAAATTAATAGAAAATAGAACACATTGCTGCTAAAACATAAAAATTAACTGTACTTTCCCAAAAAAATCTATTGCTTGATTACTGTTCCACTAGTATTGCTAATTTAGGACGTTAGTATCAAACGCAGTGAAAGTATTAATTCTTAGTTAAACAAAAAAATAGTTGAGTGTCAAAATCGAGTGAAACATGTGAGACGTGTGTAAACAAAAGCATCTAAATAATAACTATTTCCCGCAGAATTTCTGGAGGCTTATAGAGTCGACATTGGCCTGAGCGCGCTCCGGTCTATGGATCATACAAGTTCTCGGGCGACGATGTATCTAATAACGAGGCAGTTGAAATACCTGATATGTCACAGCGCAAAAAGTGTTTCTCAAAAAACTTTCAAACGTCGATGTCTTTTTAATCGAACAAAACACGATCGGCGAACGCAATAATCCAGAATGGTGCGCAGAAAAATCCTTTAGACTAACCGAACGTTATTTTGGTAAAATTTGCAAAATGAGAGAACAAGTAACACGGCTAATCCTACTGTACTGTGAAAAACATTTTACATCCCTGCAAATCTAGTTCAGCATGTATTCGCCCAAAATCTTTGCATAGAAAATGAAACAAGGGCAACTGAAGCATTTTGCAGTAAAACCAAACTGACAATAAGATAATGCGGTTTGTACATTTTTAGCGGCATCGCCAGAGGGCTTAATAAACAAAAACGCTATCTTAGAAATATATAAAATGTCCAATTTAAATAATGCTTAATTCAACGAGATGATAAATTTTGGGAAAATAATATGATAGAGCGAAATAGATAGAGAGAAAAATTTTATTTTATGCCTTACTTCCGGAGAGAGTAGATTCTCGTTATTAAACAAATCAACCCATTAGACAAATTGGAAAGAAAAGATTGTACAATTAAAATTTTTTATTTGCATTCGCGTCATGTGTAGTTCATATAAATCTTTTCCCCTTCTAGTATAAACACACACAGGAATAAATAATAATATTGGAATAGGTTTACTGGAGATATCACGTAAAAAACGTGCCTATAATACTCTACCTCATAGGTGGTGCGGAAAAGAGTATCAAAAAATTAAATTTAAATAAATATGATTGTTCAGGTAAATAAGTGGTTAGTGAAGTGATGAGAATCTAAATCTTGTCAGTTTTGTGTATTGATTTATATATAGAATGACAGATTAGTAAAAAATACTGGAATAATTTTTTGTAAGAAAATGTTTTAGTAGAATGTATAAAATTATAAAAATTTGCATACTTTTAATTCAAATTATATTAGCAATGAAAGAAGTCGACTTGTAAAAGAGTTTCAACAATGTTCGTAAGCTAAAAGTATTTATGAGTTTTATGACCTAAGTACCTGGACGGATTACCTGAACACGGGTCGATCGGCAAGGCTCCCTGCTGTGTCAAACTCAACCATTTATGGAAACGAATCCTTTGTAAATAGAGTTGCCTAGTTTCAATTTAATTTCATTATTCAGTATTTTTTTAAAACGCAAATATTTTGATAAATATAAATTTTAAACAAAAATGACCGGGTCTTCCCCATAGAGCTCAATGTTGTCTTTGCACTGATATAAAAGTTGAAGCGAAAAATGCTCTCTCCTCGTCTAAAAATGCAAATTCCTTCGAAGAATGAACGATTAATTAAACACTAAACAATCACTTATTTTAAAAAATATTGTCTTCCCCAGAGATTTAGACATAATCTATCAATTGAAATGTCGATCTTTTTTTCAAAGTTGAAATTACGCCCGTAAAATAAAAATCTATTTAGCTCATTTTTCGATCTGCTACTGCGCACCCTTAAGTATGTGGTGGAATTTATTTTCGTATATATAACATCTAAAAAGAAATGAACCAAAAGCGTTGTTTTTAACAGACATGATTAGTTTTTGGAGTGGATGAATAAATATAATTGACTTATTAATGTTCTGAAATCATCAAATCAATGTGTTAAATTTCTCACCAATAATTTGAAGGTGTCAAAACTCATTATATCATTTCTTAAATCAATTGTACAATCAGCATAATTGATTTAGACAAACATTGACCAGTTCCAGGTTTTCTTTTATTTTTCTTTATCAAATTGTGCGAAATTATTAAAATCTAGATGTGCATTGTTGGTCATCTACATTACTAGATCTTTTTATTTCGCTACTCAAGGTTATTAATTACTGTTAGATTAGTTCAAATTGTAGGATCGGTTTGCGTTTTCTGTTTATTTATTTGTTTGCACTTATAAAGTTTTCCCGCATTTTTGGCACCGTTAGAAACGTCTTATCATAAAACTTTACGACAGGAGCAGGTAACAGTTTGCTGGAACCACTACAAATCCGTCAACTCAATTGGCCATACCTAATCGGGGTTGACTGATTGATGGACACCCATATCCCATGCCGTGATGTTGTGGGACATTTACTAAGAAGGTGTTGGTGGAGAATTTAGTCGGAAAACAAACGCGAACGGGGAAATAGATAAAATGTTGTGCGAAACAAGCGGCAAAAGTTAAAAGGGTGTTAAGGGGTGTACCTATCACTTATTAGTAATCGGTTCTGGAGATAATTTGGAATAATCGGTGAGTCCGCTGCTTGTCATTATTATTTCTCTATTACATCCCAAAATTAGAAAATGAGTCGTCAGACGAGTTTCCTGGGAGATGAGTGCTCTAAAATTATATTAATCACCAATTATTTTATAACAGTGATTGTCAATGTCGCACGTGGCATATCTAAACCGTATTTTATGTAACGTATGTATGACAACAATTTTTAAAATTATTTGGACACTTCGTGTAGTATTGCAATTATAATAAAGTAGCATAAAATTTCATTCATAAGACCGTCGCTATTTTCGTTAAAATCCATTATTTCGTTTTCGGTTTTGATTCAAAAGATCACACTTATTTGTTATATTGATTATGGTTTTAGATGTTGAAATTATTGGCCTTTAAATGGCGACAAAGAATTTAAAGCCCAAGCTGGTCTGGTCCGTTAGAATAACAGATGTACGAGATGCGACACTGACCGGGACGGATGGCAATAAAAATCACATGCCCAGAAAAAGTTTTGGTTCGGGTGAAATTTTAGCGGGAAAATATTAATTTACATTATTAAGTAGATTTCCAGAAAAAAAAAACGCAGAAACTCGGTGGAAAAATTTCCAAGGGTGTGTGTTACTTGTTAGACCATCTTCCGTTCACAAATTTTTAATTTATTAAACGGGAATAATTAAAAATGTCCGAAACATGTAACTAAAGGACCCGTAACGTTTTTCAAATACACTGCTTCATCCTTATTTAACGTTAAAATGATATAAAATACAGTCGAATTGTGATACTGCTTACATGGGTGCTTGTTCAGGTGCCAGACTAAATGTCTAAACACCTGAACATGATCTTCATTTAAAACAAAGTAAAATCTGTGGACCTTTTAAAAAACACTTAATTTTATACGAGAATGTGGGTTATTGATCGAGCGTAGTCGTGCTAGTAAGTACAGTGACGGGTAGATACCGCTGACGCTTGCTGTTGCCGGACGGATAAATTCGGTTTTGGTATATCAGTTTTTCGAAAATTTTGAGTTGTTATCGCTTCTCGGCCTTATGGCTAAGATCAAAGTGTAGTATCTGTTCTTATCAGCTTAATATCTGATACGCCCCGCATGCGGGGCCAGTATATTAAACTGATTTTTGGAAATTGACGGAGGCTAGGGGCTTGCTCCACCTCCGTCGCGGGTTGGCCCGGCATTGCAGTACAGTCGGGATCGGCCCACCTAATTTAATAAAACATAAGTTTTCATCGATACTTTCGTGGTAAAATTGCGAAAAAGTTTCAAGATATTCGAAAAACTGATCGCAACGTTCGGTGAAGTTCAACAGTCGCTCTGGATTGCGTCGTGTCTAGTAAGCATAATGCGCAGACGCTGAAACGCACCTGTTGCTTGTTGTTGTGTACTGTTGGAAACGGTCACATCCTTACCCTCTTTCAGTTCAAAAGGCCTACTTGACATGTCAAATTACGGGCGCATTATTCAACATAGAACGACGAGAGACAACCATTTTAACACTCAATTTATCGCCATTCAGACACGGGTTATGCGAACATGTGGCCTCGAGCCCGGACAAGGTTCAAGATTAGATAATGTACGGTTTAAGGAAGCGAATTGGGTAAAACACGGAGCACATACATCGGCCTTTCTAGAAAGCTGGCTGTTGGGTCCGTTTCAAACACTTTGTCGCCCTGTAGGAACGAAAACACGCTGATCTGGACATCAATTTTCTTTCGGTGCTGCCATCTGATGAGCACCGATAATTTGTGTTGAGAACATTGCGGAAGGTAAGAACGGACCCTTAAAAACTCGTGCACATACTAATAAATTAATAAATAAATAAATAACGATCGCAAGCATGGAGGCAGGTCTAGGCATGGCCGACTAGTATAAAGATTATGGCCTGTCCAAGAGGTACCATACGTGTTGCCATCTATTAATAATTACACTTAATAATTTAGCAAAATTTTAATTTGACTTGACATTATGGGACTTCAAAACGTGTAATGGTGGTTTGTTTCGGTATGAATGCCTTTGTGCCTTTCAAAAAGTGTTAATAATTCTTTTGTCGTTTTTGAATTATTAAAGATGGCAGCACGTATGGTACCTTTGGCATTCCTTTGGACAGGCCATAATCTTTATACTAGTCGGCCATGGTCTAGGTATCATGTGTTGTTTTTAAGCGTTTAATTGGCTGCATAAACTGAAATAATTTAGTTGAAACTTGACAATTTTATTAATACAGAATACCCCAGGTAAAGCTTTGTGTGAGACTAAAAAGTACCAAATTTTGAGTATGTCGTAGATATTTTGTCAAATTTTGAAATTGTGTTGGATTACCTAGAAAGAAACCATAATGTTATGCAATTTAAGAGAATAGGAAAAACAGAACTGGCGGCCGAAATGTTAAAAATTTCTAAAAAATCTTTATTACTTTTCCAAAAAATACAGGTTCCACGTAACTATTGTCGCTTCATGAAATGTTGGTTTTAAGTTTTATAAAAATAACAATCGATCTATTAAGCTATAAGAACAAAATTTTTGCGTGAACATTAACACCACAAACAAAAATTACACAAACCCCGTTTTCTGAATGAAACATGGATATTTAGTAAAGGGAGTACATATATGTAAAAAAGTGGCAAGACGGGTAGATATATTGTAGTTCGCGCCGGCAATAAACACGGATTTACTGAAGGAGCGTTTCTGGTTTTTAAGGCAAAAACTAAATCTGGTGATTATCATGATGACATGAACCAGGAAAATTTTGACAATTGGTTTAAAGAATAATTAATATCCAGACTTCCGGAAGTGTCTCTTATTGTAATGGATAGTGCAACTTATCACAGTAGACTTATGGTGTTTATTTTAGTTTTGATAAGTACACTATACTTATATTGTTGCTTTATTTGTAGGAAAAAATCATAGATTCGGCGGAAAAGACTCTGGAGAATTTGGGCTCGGTCGGCAGTAGCAGCACCACCCCCCTCCACTCCACGCTGTCACCAGTGCGAATGAGGGTTATTGAGCGAGCGTAGTCGTGCGAGTAACGAAAGTGACTGGTAGATACCGCTGACGCTTGCTGTTGCCGAACGGATAAATTCGGTTTTGGTATATCAGTTTTTCGAAAATTTTGAGTTGTTATCGCTTCTCGGCCTTATGGCTAAGATCAAAGTGTAGTATCTGTTCTTATCAGCTTAATATCTGATACGCCCCGCATGCGGGGCCAGTATATTAAACTGATTTTTGGAAATTGACGGAGATTAGGGGCTTGCTCCACCTCCGTCGCGGGTTGGCCCGGCATTGCAGTACAGTCGGGATCGGCCCACCTGATTCAATAAAAACACAATTTTCCCGACCAGTTCCAGAAGTAAACTCGTCTGCAATTTTTTTTTTTTAATATCGACACCATAACAAACGTCCCCACCAGCCTGGGACCGGCATCAAACATCTCCGAGAAAACTAGAGCAAAAACAAGGCTCTGTTCTGTTTAGGTCGTAAATCCCAAGCTCTCTTGACGTTTCAATTACAAGTATACCGTATGGCATGACTATAGATCGAGCGGGATAAATCTGACAAGAGCCCACCCTTAGGGATGTGTATCGGACAAGTCTTTCTGTAATATTCTTTCCATAGACCCACAAATTTTGAAATTAGAATATTAGTTTATTATAGATATTTAGTGTACCAAGAGAGTTAGAAGCCTCTGGGATGGATGTTGGCCGATGGGCATCCGCTAACTTCCGAGGTGCATTCAGTATGTTATATTTCACGAAAAATTGCAAATTAATTCAAAATTTACAAATTTTTTGGTGAAAATAAGGTATTGAGGTTGCTAATCACATTGTACACAAATTTTCAAATGTCGTTCGCTTGGCTCCAAACGACCAAAGCGATGAATTTTGAGTTTTCTAAAGAAAAAGCGGCAAAAGCAGAAAAAGCTAAGGATTCTTTACTACCTTTAAACTCCAGACAAACGTACGAGATCGAATTTAAAAGTTTTAACGAGTGGAAACGGAAAAATTCTCTTGATGGCATAAACGAAACTGTGATGATGGATTACTTTCTATGTACTCGTAATCTATATTCCACCTTCCACTTCATATGAAGACTATGAACTGCTTTTAGATCTCTTAAGTAGTTTGGAAGAATTTCATAATAATAAAGTATTCATCGTTGGAGATTTTAATATTCCACAATTTTCTGCAAATTCGAATGATCGGTTTTCATCACTTTTAAACAATTTTTGCGAGCTTCCTAAACTTATCTCAATTTAATCACATTCTTAACATCCTTAATCGTACTGTTGATCTTATTTTTAGTAATTCAACAGTTCTTGTTTGTAAATCAGACAACCCTTTAGTTGATGAAGATCGTTACCATCCAGCATTGGAAATTCAGTGTCAAATTGAGGTAAAACCAGTGAATAATTTCCAGATGAACCCGAACTCTAAACAGTTCAACTTTAAAAAAGCAATTTTTCTATATTTATATAACACTCTTGTAACCACGGACTGGTCGGCCATCTATAACTCAAATAATGTCAATGAGGCATGCTCTACTTTTTACGACATCTTATATAAAACATTTGAAGCTTCAGTTCCTACTTTTAAATTTAAAAATAGTAATCGTCGATATCCATGTTGGTTCAACCAAGAATTAATTAACTGTATTTGTCAAAAAAATTATTTTCATAGACAATTCAATCAATACAAAACTACTTCCTTAATAAATTCAAATTTTTCAGATCATTGTGCAAAGTTCTAACTATTAATGCTCATAAATATTATATTGATAATATTCAAGCCCAAATTTCTAACGATCCGAAAAAGTTTTGGTCCTATGTACAAAATAAGAGAGGCCGCTCGAGGATCCCAAGTTCTATGAAGTATGAAAACTCCGAATTGACCTCACCAGTTGATATCGTCAATGGCTTTAGCACCTTCTTCAGCAGCGTATACATCGCATCAAATCCCAATAGTCCATTTCAATTCACGGGTCAAGAAATTTCGAATTTAATTGTAGCAGTCTCACATATATCTGAAGACGAAATTCTTCATGTTCTAAAAACCTTTAAGGATTCTTTCACGTCCGGTACTGATATGATACCAAGTTTCCTGCTAAAAGATTGTGCCTACGTGTTCGCCAAACCTCTATTTTCCATCTTCAATCTAATATTGACTTCATCTGTTTTTCCTGATGTTTGGAAGAGAGCATCAATTACACCAATTTTTAAGAAGGGAGATATAACTTGTATAGAAAATTATAGACCTATCTGCTTATTGTGCAACTTTGCCAAAGTTTTTGAGTCCGTTTTATACAAAAGAATTTATTCAAGCATAAAGTGTTACATAACTTCTCTTCAGCATGGCTTTGTCAAAAAAAGATCAACGGTCACCAACTTGGCTTCTTTTAGCCAATATGCATCCGAGGCAATTCATAATAAAAATCAAATTGATGTCGTCTATACCGATTTTAGTAAAGCCTTTGATCAGATTGATCACTATATCTTATTAAAAAAGCTTGAATGCTTTGGCTTTACTAAACCCTTATTATCTTTAATGGAATCCTACCTTATTGGAAGAAATTTGAGTGTTAAATATAATAATTTCTTCTCGCCTACGTCAGGAGTGCCACAAGAGTCAAATTTAGGTCCGCCACTATTTTCAATCTTTATTAACGACGTAGTTGATGTTATAGCAAGTAATAAGTTACTTTTTGCAGACGATTTGAAACTTTTCTTCGAAGTAAAATCGCTAAGTGATTGCGTAAAACTGCAAAATGATGTAAATATTCTCTCCAACTGGGGTTACAACAACCGGCTCTGTCTAAATAAAGAAAAATGTTACATTGTTACTTACTCCAGAAAAGAAATTAACATTATTTACAATTATAGTATAGAAGGCAAACACTTGGTTCGATTAGATCGCTTTAAAGACCTTGGTGTAATTTTTGAAAATAAGTTTTATTTTACACATCATATATCGGACTGTATTTCAAAATGTTATAAAATGTATGGTTTTATTTTCCGCAACTGTCGTGATTTTCCGAACGCTAGTTCACTGATTCTGTTATTTAATTCACTTATTAGGTCTCGACTAGAATATTGATCAGTGAATTGAAGCTGTTCAGAGAAAATTTTTAAAGTTCGTCTGTTATTTAATCGATCATACTTATCCACCTAGAGGTTGTGATCATCCTACTTTATTACGTAGATTCAATTGTAATTTGTTAAATACTAGGCGCGTAATATTGACAATAAAATTTTTATATAATGTACTCAATAACCGTATTGACTGTCCATATTTGCTAAACAAAATTTGTTTCTTAATACCACACATAAACTCCAAGCATACGTTAACGCTTTAGCCGCCTTATTGCAGAACAAATATTTTAAGCAGATCGCCGTTAATTTTAATGTGCAATCACTTCAGTTTAATCAGTAAAGCATGCGATATAAATTTTGATTGTCTAAACCATATATGTAGAATTTTGTTAGATCGGTTAGAAAATTAAGCAGTTAAGAATTGGAGTTATATAATGTTTGTTTATTTTTAAATCATTTTCTTTGATTTTTTCTTTTTTGCTGCACTAATGCTTAGGGAATAGGTTTGTTTATTGTTTTTTATTTAAATGTTTCCTGTAATTGGGTGTTTCTACCCGTTGGAAATAAAGACATTATTATTATCCAGCACAACTGATTTCAAGTTATGTTTCTTCAGCAAAAGGATCTTCATCAAACTTACTTCAAGAGGAAGCTTTCCACTTAGAAAATTCTGTTTTAACCGGAAACTTTCATCCACAATCTGGAATTGCTGCTTCTTTTTTGATGTCAGGGACACTTCAAAATTGTAATTTTTATTTCGGAACACATTAGAAACTTTTTTGACTTTTGTACCTTCTGTTGTAGGTATTAATGTTGAATAAAATTGTTAAAAAAATGGAGGGCGTTATGGTTCATAATAGCTCTCATAATAGCCCCGTATAATTTATATCTAGGCACCCAACAAAACACAACAGAAATTGGAATTATAATAATAGCCAAGATAGTGGTGAAATGTATTTTGGGTTGCGTTTCAAATTTATTCAGGCTCTCATCACCCACAATTAAAAAAAAAATCTCCTGGATTAAAAAAACTACCGAGTGGTAGATTGTCATGGCAGTGTTAAAAATTACTATCGATGACGTTAATTAAAAAGTTTATATTCATTAATTATCTACAATTTATTCACAATAATCAAGTCGTGAACAACATGATTTTCGACAAATTTCTTATATAAATTAAAAACTCATTAAAATTGTTAAAAAAAAAAGGAATGCCCGAGGAAGATATTACACAAGATTTATAGATATTATTATTAAATCACTACGTACTTCATCAAGGTTGTTCAACGGAGGAAATCCACTCAACAACATTACATTAAATTCAGAGTTACGTTGGTTTTTTTTTTACCGCAAGGAGTTATCATATTTGCAGTCGGTTTCGGGTTCCACGGGTTAGTGATCTATTTTGCATAAAAAATGAACAGAATGTGGAAATTTTTGAAGCAAATAGGACTTTTCTATATTTTATGTAAGTAACAATGTTTGATCAGTGGATGTAATTGTTTATACGTCGTTTACATTTCAGTAGAAATTGTTAGTTGCGATGAACACAAGACCGGGAATTTGAGCGCCCATTTTGTACGAATACCTCGTCAAATTGATAGAAGGAGGTGAGTTTTAAGGAAAATAAATCAATTATCGAATTAATAAATTTTGTGACTTCTACAGTGTTGACAGTTCTTTAGTACCCATGTTTTATTGTTTGCTGATGTCACACTTTTTGTTTTAAATTTCAGCTGCATATTACCACGGCATCCAAAATTTGGACGATGGGCCACTTATGGAACAAACTCTTCATTGTCCCCTGGTGATGTTGTACATTTGGGTACAATCCTAGAAGTGAGCTGTAATGATAACTATAAATTGGATGGTGATGAAACCGTTGCTTGTATTCGTGGGGAGTGGAAACCCCAAATCGGAGAATGTTTGCGTAAGTTATTTGTGCTTATGCACAGGATGTTCATTTTATCTGTTCACGCCTGAATATTTCTGCATAGGCAACCCATTTTACGTTTCATAAACAGCTTTGATTAATTTTTATTTTTAAATAATATTGAAAGCATAGTTAATAATGATCAGAACCAAAATTATGACAAAGTATTTCTGTCAGCCAAATATATTCTCTATGTAGATTTTCCGTCGAGTCCACTTTCTCAATTATCTAAATGAATTTCGCCACAGGTACTTGTCCCTCCATACACAACACAGCGGTTATGACAGTGACCTGTATCTATGACCAGAAAACTTTAAAATCGTGTACAGACGTTTTGGATGGTACGAGAGCAAGATTTGAGTGTGCTCGATTTTATGAAACCCAAGGACTGAATAAGTTTCCGGTGCGAGTATGCTCCAATGGGCAATGGAGTGGTGGCTTGCCAGATTGTGTACCAGGTAATTAACTGTTTTTTTGGAATCAAAAGTGATGGGATATTAAGATTACTGCTTTCGTTTTAAGTGTGCGGTAGAAAAGCCATCACAAAAGATCCCACGCTGATTGTTGGAGGTTCTAATACAACATCTCTAGAGTATCCCTGGCAAGTGGCTTTGTATGTAAAAAATACCAAAAGTTTAATCTGTGCAGGAACATTAATAAATCAAAAGTCAATCGTAACAGGTACTTCAGTCCAAATACTTACAGTGAACCGTTAACTGAAGTATATTGTTACAGCGGCCCACTGTATAACAGATATATACGGTCAACTGCAGTCAAAAGAACTCTATGTTGTAGGAGTTGGAAAAACTTATCGAGATTACGACGATACAAGAGACACCAAAAGCCAATTTTCTTCTGTAAGTGCGAAATCTTTTTCAATAAATACTACAAATTGCAAAGTATCTCATTTTCTTTTATTTCTAGATACAAGATATGTACATCCCTAGACAATACAGAGGCGACCTTCGACGTTACTTTGGCGACATTGCAGTCCTAATCACAACTAAAACCTTCACTCTTTCCACAAATGTTCAACCGATTTGTATCGTTTGGGAGAAAGATTTTCATCAATCACTTGAAAATCCAGCCCGAGTCAAAAATGCTTACGTAAGCGGCTGGGGATTCACTGCTGCAAACAAAGATCCTTCAGATGTTCTTAAAACACTGGAGGTTCCTCTGATAACTTACAGCGAATGTGAAGAAAAATTAGGTCAAGATGATGTGCAGTATCTGGCCGATGACAAACTATGTGCTGGTTTTTTGGACTCTGGTGAGTTTTTACATTTATTTAGTAACGAGACTCTAGATACCTACAATGAGACGACTATAAATTTAACCATTATTAGATTAAACAATGGGTCACTTTTAGGTATGTCTGTATGTAAAGGTGATAGTGGTGGGGGCCTAGTTTCCAAATATGATGACAGATACTACATTATAGCAGTTGTGAGTCTTGCTCCACAAGCACCCTCTACTGAAGGTGGATGCAATAGTCAACAGTATGGTTTATATACTAGTTTTTCTTACTATCTTGAGGACTTCATAATCGACATAGAAGCTAGATTCAGACCGTAAGTAAATGTTACAATAATGTGATCATTATGGCCCATAATTTTGTCTATAGCTACGACCATGTACACTGCCCCGATAATAACTGTCTCATTCCTTCCACACAAGTGCCGACAACTTCTGTAACAGTAACGTATGTATTAATATTGATGTTGTATTAATCAAATACCGGACAAATCTGCAGTCTTAAAGGTTGTACGTTACCTGATCATCCTGACGATGGCAGCTGGTCTGTTTATGGATCATCTTCAAACCAGCTTCTACCTGGAATGCTAGTTGCATCAGGAAGTGTTCTAAAAATGGAATGTGGGAGAAATTATATTTTCAAAGGGGATACGTATTTGTTTTGTGATAATGGTTACTGGTCATCTAATATTGGACACTGTTTACGTATGTATACATTTTTTGATTGTTTATAGTTTCTAATTTTTACTTTTTACAGCTGCTCAAAATTTATCGTTGGCATCTCCTCCCGCTGGAATCGAATGTGGCATTTCAGCTTTAGACGAATCTTTAAACGTAAAAGGAAATCCAGCTTTAATTAAGTACCCATGGTTAGTCGGAATATACTTTGTAACTGGTCTAAATTTAGACTACAGATGTGCTGGATCCTTGATATCTGATAAACACGTAATAACCGGTAAGTAAAATTAGAGGAAACCGAATTTACATTAACCACAACACACTTAGTTGCCCATTGCACGGTTTCAAAAAGTCGGCCGATCTCTCCTAGAAACATTGTACTCAAATTGGGCCAACATACTCCCGAAGTGTTTGGGGGAGATGGTGTAATAATGATTCATGCAGAGGGAGTGATCCTCCACCCTGAGTTTACAACCAAAAGTACTGAAGCTGATATAGCTCTCATCACATTGTCTCAAAAGGTACAGTTTTCGGATTATGTTCGACCTGTATGTATGTGGCTAGATTCTGACAATATCGACGACATTATTGGAAATGGTACAGTAGTTTCTTGGAGTGAGGCGACTACTAAACCCAGGGAAATTCCGATGCCTGTAGTAAGCCAAGTAACGTGTTTGAGATCAACAGAGGCCTTCGTGTACATAACATCCGCCCGGACATTTTGTGCTGGTACTTGATTTATACTTAATATTACAGTATTAGTAGTATTAAATACGACTACTGTTATATTATTATTGTTGCTGTTTTAGGTGAAAGGAACAGTTCCATTGCTTGCCCATTAGCTGGTGACGGTCTTATAATAAGACGCAACGGCCTATGGACTCTTGCAGGCATAACATCAACTTCTCTCTATGATGGTGATAACAAATCTTGTGATGCATCGAATTATATAGTTTTTGTGAATCTCGGCCAGTTCAAACAATGGTTGTTAGCAATTATTAATAAGGAATAAATGTGTTTTATTTTATATTCCGTTTTATTTCACGAGAGTAAACACGATAAGGACCAGTCAGGTTTCAGTTGGTTGCCGGTTAACGTCTTTGACAATGGTGAATTTTTCCAGTTCAAAGCGTGTCGACGTGGTAATGCTTTATGATGTAGCTTATGAAAACGCCAGGTTCCCTGTGCACGAATATTTACATCAGTTGTACAGATTTCTTAGAAAATCCTAGAATTTTTTTTTTAAAACTGGTGCCCGAGATTACGAATCCTCTGGTCGATGGACAGTACAAATACCAGAATAAAGCAAAAATTAGATCGTGTGAAGGGGTAAATACAGGAAGTTAGGCGAGAGAACGGGAAAATTTCAAGAAACAGTAAACCTCCAAGAGGAGAAAATAAAAATGCTTGAAAGAGAGATAACATAGAAGATATAGTTAATGGAATAGACTAATGAGAATGGAATGCAAATTAAAAGTAGATCGGAGAAAATCTTGGATTAAATAGAAGTTAGGTAATGTTACTGAAATAAGAAGAATAGGAGATAAGGATATGGAAAGAAGTAAAAGAGTGGGAAAAGATGAAAGAGAAATGCCAAACGGATTTAATTGAAAGAACGAGGAAACAAGAAGTGGAAGAAAGGGCTAAAGAGGGAATAAAAATAAGGGTAAAACAAAAAATGAAAGCATTAAAGATGAACTGAGTTTCATTTTTAGTATAAAACAAGTACTCAATAATTAACTCATGGCACCCGAAACTGAACTATGGACTTCATAACAGTGAAACCCGTTTTAAAAAATCTTTCGTTACAGTGAACAAAAGTCATCGAACAACCTTGACGCTGTACGTAGTGTGTACACTGTATGATTTGTTTATCTAAGACCATGTGTTACCGCTTTGACTAGTGTTCACCTCAATCACCCGGTATGTATCAGGTTCGTGGCAAGGTTGCTGTCATTGTTGATAAAGCTTTGGTTAAATCACACCAATCTGTTAACACTGTAAATGTCCACATAATAATAAATTGCAATTGTTGAAAATTTTCCAATCGAAGATTGGGTGGTAAATGTGTAGTGTCCGTGTTCTCTTACCAAGAAAACGATTCGTCTTATTTTTAAGGTAAGCGATAGTACGTTGTACAAGGGGCAAAAAGACCATATTCGCAGGATTTGAACGCTAGAATAGATTCTAATAGACGAAAGTGTTCTAGAACTATTCGAAAACAGAGTTAATCACTTTATGAGTGTAATTTTCATTAGTTTTTGGTAAGCCTTGATCGTCTTTATATAATTTGAGAAGAATTCACCGTAGGTTTTTGAAAACAACTGTTTTTCCAGTTGATAAAGATACATGATATAACCGGAGTTCCTCAAACCAATATAATAATCACTTCATCGTTAGAACGGATGTGGCATAATTATACTGATAATTGAGTCGGACATTTACATGTTTTAATTCTGCAGTTCAAGCTATTAAAAAGTATTATGAATATTTTTTCTCATTAAGTTTTTCTCTATCCTTGTTCTACATTTGGGTTCCTTACTCGTTGGACATTGAACTAATTAATAATTGCGTTGATAATAATATCATCAATAATAACAATAAAAATAAAAAAAAATTTGGTCCCAAGACTTTGAATTTAAAAAATCCAAGTGGATTTCCCACATATCTAATAAACTATCCACAATCAACGATAATCAAATAACATTTGACGAACTGATTAATGCCATCAACAGAACGCAAAACTGAAAATCACCAGCACCAGATAAAGTACATCATTTTTGGATCAAAAAATTCCAACATTGTTATGTCATGGTGTTAGATATCTAAAACTTAAAGATGATGACACAAAAAGGATGTTTTAAAGGATCCTCGTTAGTTACTTTTAACTAACACTTGGTTTAAAGAATAATATTTTTTTCAGCAGACACCTCCAAGGTTGTCATCATGAACTCGAGTTCCGATGAAGAAATCAGAAAATTGGAAGAAGAATTAAAACGTATAAAAGAACAAATAAGGCGAAAAAAACATGCACAGGGAAATAATAGCATATTACACACCCAGCAGTCTGAAGAGAAACCTTGTTCTTCAAAAACGGTATTATAAATAATTATTTTTATTTATTACAATTAAAACAGAAAAAAGTAACTAATAGAAATTTTCGAATACAATCTTTTTTTTCTAAATCAGCAGGCAGATTTCGCAGCAGAAGGTACCAATCAACACATGAAAGAAGTAACTGAAGAAAGAATTTATCCAAAGAAAATAGGACAAATAGAGGCAGAAACAACAGATAGGCATTTTCTAGAAACGGTAAATCTGATGATGAAATTGATAAATGAAATAATGTTTTTCTATTTACTCCAGACTTTCCGAAAAAGGCCGGGTACTACCGATAAAGGGAAAAAGTACGAAGACATGCTTACTGCCAACGTCATACTACAACTGGTAAGCAACGATAAAATAAAAGACCTTCACATTTCGTCCAACAACGAAAATTTTGGCGACTTCGACGACTTTGTTATCGAAGTTGAAACACATCGGGGAATCCAAACAAAAGCACTCCAATTAAAACACAGCAGTCGAGGAAATTTATCCATAAGCCAACTGGTGAGCAAAACTGGCAACTTTAGCATAACCAAATATTTCAACTCCTTCCAAAAGATAAAGAACAAAGAAGCACAATTTATTTTATTCACCAACAACGGACTTGAAGTTTCGGACAAGACACAATTTAAACTCGAAGGAGAAGAATTGCATCTGAAACCGATTAAAGTGTCAATTGCAGAAGACAGTGTCGACAGTTTAAGAATTTCTGAAAATATAAGTTATTATTACAGATTTCAAATTGTAGAGGAAAAATCGACTAAACAAAATCCTGAAAAAATTCAGCAGTATCAAAAATTCTTTGAACGGTTTCGTCTTTACACGAACCAAGAAACTTTGGAAAGTCTTACGAAGTCAACGATGAAGAGATTTACTACGATGTTCTGTTCTAATGAAGACGTATTCGATACGTACTTTAAATTCATATCGGACTGGAGTATGCAAGAGGGAAAAAAAGACAAATTAAACAAGAAATTTATGCAGCGTGTAATTGCACTTCGTTTGCTTTCTTCTCACGTTGAATCTTTCGCTTTTGGTTCAGTCAGTGACGAAATGAAGATCCTTAGAGACGCTATTTGTTTCTTCGACATTACGCTATTGGAAAAAAAAGGCAGCAACAAAGTTCTAAAGTTGTGGGGTGACTTGGACAAACATCTTGATTTCAACGAATTGAACAAAGTTCGATCACGCTATTTTCTTTCATCTGCTTATGTACCTACTATCAAAGATCTGGACCCAAAATCGTTGACCCAGTTGTTATGGTTGATGGATAAATGTCCTCTAGTCGTAAAAGAGGACGACACAATAGAAAAAGCTATTCAGCTCTGCCGAGGTGCAAAATTTGTTTTAGTTGGTGAAGGAAAACGTAGAGAATGGATGAAAGATCGTTCCGTATTTCAGAACTTGTCACATTTAGAGTCGGAACTTGAATTATGTGAAGAGGTGCTGCAAAATTTCACTATTTCTTTGCAGGGAAAAGATGCAATTAATTTGAAGACTGCTTTCCAACAAAATGAAGAATTTTTAAAGCACTTAACTGTGAATAAACTTTTAGAGATGTTAAATGGTCCGTGCTGTATAGATGGACCAAAGGAAACTTTTCCCAATCTTTATATCGAAAGGTATTTGTCGGTCAATGTTATAGACATTGAATACCTAGACCATGTTGATCAAAACACTGTTATTTTTCTGAACTGCGAAGAAAATTTTGAGCAATTAAAAGTATCTGAGGAGCATAATTTAATCCATATAGACGAATATTTCAATACTATACATTCCAAAGTTTCCAACACTCCAATTGTTATAGTGAGTAAAAATAACTGCAGTGAATCTGAATTTCAAAAAATATGTTCTGAAACACCAACTTCCAAAACTGTACATTGGTTTAAATTCCTTAATAAAAAAAATTTAGAATGGATCCGAAGTAGAGGCGATATTAACAAACTGCGAAATTTTAAGTTAAGTAATTATTCCAAAAACGAAAAAGAATTTTGGTCTTTCGGATCCACGTCCACCAACCCCATAAATCTCATAATAGGCGATCCGGGAATGGGCAAAACTGAGTTAACAAAAAGCTTAAAAAACAACTGTTGTTCTAAATACTGGACGGTAATTATGAATCCCCAGGATGTTAATTTATTCTCTAAAACTTTAGAAAAGTTTCACACATCAGATTACTTAAATCGGTTCGAATCATTCATCTTAAACGAAAAATATCGACATCTCGAGCGGTTAGATCGAGAATTTTTCAAAATGTGTTTGAAACAAGACAATGTAATTTACGTTTGGGACGCTCTTGACGAAATTTTGTCTAAAAATTTGAACGCCGCTTCGGATTTGATCCTTATGCTATCACGAAACGGTGTCATTCAATGGGTTACCGCAAGGCGACACTTGACGACGTTTCTTGAAACCAAATTCAATGTACTGTCAGTGAGTATTAACCAGTTCAGCGAGCTCGAGCAAGAAGACTACATTAGAAAACGCCTGTCGAGTCTTATTTCGTCTGTCGATATGGAAAGAACTGTCGAGAAAATTAAATCCACGTTTGCTTTCACGAAACACGTAGATATTTTGGGGATTCCGCTTCAGATATTTATGCTTACAGAAATATTCCTTCAAAATAAAGAAACGTATTTAGATTTGTTCAACAACACGTTTCTTTTGACTGACTTATATCGTTATTTTATTGACGGAAAGTTTAAGATCTTCTTTGGAGGCAAGGTGCCTCTAAAGGGTGATTATTGGGAAGAAGAGGTCAGGAAAAAAAAGGAAGATAAATTAAAGCAGTATGAAAAGTTTGCACTTGGATTAATATTTCCTGAAGAAATTTTGAAGGAATTAAAGATCGAGTGTTCACAAGATGCGAATTTAGTTTGTGAAGATTTTGCTACTGTTGGTATCGTCACTGGATTACAAAATGGCATTTCGCAATTCCTGCACGTTTCCTTCGCCGAGTATTTTGTTGCCTCGTATTTTTCTAAAAATTTTGAAGTGATACGCAGGGACATATTTTTTCACCAAAAGTATAATAATGTTCGTTTTTTCTTCGACATGATAGTTGGTCAAAATTCACCGGTCCACATTGCCATCTTGAACAGAAATTTTGATGAATTGAGGAGTTACAATGACGAAATGATACAATGTAAAGATGGCGGTGGAAGAAGTGCTTTACATCTCATTTGTTCTTGGGGACAAAGACATCGACGGTTAAAGGTACAAGAAAAAAGGGACGGTTACGTAATCGAGCAAGCATTGAAGTTTAGTGATTCACTAGAAACAAGAGAGTATTTTGAAGCATTACTATTTTTGATAAGCAAATGTGATATTTCAGAAGAAGATTTATTATGTAAAATCACACCTTTAGCATGTTGTCGAGAAAGTGAAAGTTTGGCAGCGGAGCTGGAATTATTACAGTCAAGAAAATTGCCATTCCAACGATCGTATAGCAAAAGTGATATCATCAATATTTTATATTACTGTACTCGGTTGGGATACGACGAAGCCATGAAGACGGTTATTTTTGAAAATTTTGGCTCCTGTTACTTGGAAGTAAATTTTATTACTGAATACGACTATGGATCCCCTCTGTTAATGGCTTGCCAAAAGGGATACGCATCAATTGTAGAGTACCTGCTTAAATGCGGAGCCAAAATTAATGAAGCTGATATTCACGGATGGACACCACTTTACGCAGTTTCCTCGAACGGCCACAAAGATATTGTAGAGTGTCTAGTGAAATGTGGAGCCGAAATCAACCGAGCTAATAAATATGGTCAGACACCACTTTATGCTGCTTCCTCGGAAGGCCACCAAAAGATTGCCGAATACCTAGTAAAATGTGGAGCCGATATCAATCTTGCTGATGCAGCTGGTTCGACACCTCTATACACAGCGTCCTCGAAAGGCCACGAAGAAATTGTCAAATGCCTAGTGATAGGTGGAGCCGAAATAAATCGTGCTAATAATGAGGGTTGGACACCGCTTCAAGCAGCTTCGTCGGAAGGCCACGAAAAAACTGTCCAATGTCTAGTAAAAGGCGGAGCCGAAATCAATCGTGCGAATAACAAAGGTTGGACACCACTGTATATAGCTTCCTCGAAAGGCCACGAAAATATTGTTAAATCCTTAATAACAGGCGGAGCCAAAATCAATCACGTTACTAATGATGGTTGGACACCACTTTATGTAGCTTCCTCTAAAGGCTACGCAACAATTGTCGAATATCTAGTGAAATACGGAGCCGAAATCAACCACGCTGATGCTGCTGGTTGGACACCACTTTACACAGCGGCCTCAAAAGGCGACGAAAAAATTGTCGAATGTTTAGTGAAATGCGGAGCTGAAGTCAATCGTGCTAATAACGACGGCTGGACACCTCTTAGTGCAGCTTCGTCGGAAGGCCACGGAAAAATCGTCGAATGTCTAGTGAAATGCTGGGCCGAAATCAATCGTGCTAACGAATACGGTTGGACACCTCTATACGTAGCGTCCTCCAAAGGCCACAAAAAAATCGTCGAAACCCTAGTGAAATGCGGAGCCGAAATCAACCATGCTAGTGAATATGGTTGGACACCACTTAACGCAGCCTCCTCGAAAGGCCACAAAACCGTCGTCGAAAGTCTAGTGAAATCCGGAGCCGAAATCAACCGCGCTAACATAAACGGCTGGACACCACTTTACACGGCTTCCTGGAATGGCCACGAACATATCGCCGAATACCTAGTGAAATCCGGAGCCGAAATCAATCACCCTGAGAAAGACGGTCGAACACCGCTGAACGCAGCTGCCTCCAACCGCCACACAAAAATCGTCGAAAACCTAGTGAAACACGGAGCCGAAATTGATCGCGCTGATGACGACGGCGAGACACCGCTTTACACAGCTGCGTCGAACGGCCACGAGGAAATCGTCGAATGTCTAGTGAAATACGGAGCCGAAGTCAATCGCGCTGACAAATATGGCGAGACACCGCTGAACGTAGCTTGCTCGAACGGCCACGACAAAATTGTCGAATGTCTAGTGAAACACGGAGCCGACGTTAATCGCCCTGATAACAACGGTTGGTCTCCGCTTACCGCAGCTTCCGCGAGGGGCCACGAAAAAATTTTCGAGTGTCTAGTGAAATGTGGAGCCGAAATCGATCGCGCTGATGATAATGGCTGGACGCCGCTCTACGCTGCTTGCTCGAACGGGCACAAAGAAATTGTCGAAAGTCTAGTGAAATACGGAGCCGAAATCGATCGCGCGAGAAATGATAGTGAGACACCGCTTTACGCGGCTTCGTGCAACGGTCACGAAAGGATCGTGGAATGGTTAGCGAAGAGCGGGGCCGACGTTAATCGCGCCGACAAAGATGGTTGGACACCGCTTTACGCAGCTTGTTCGAAGGGCCACGAAAAGATTGTCGAATGTCTAGTGAAATGCGGAGCCGAAGTCAATCGCGCTAACAATGATGGTCAGACGCCAGTTTGTGAAGCGACTATGAATCGACACGCGAAAATAGTGAAGTTTCTGGTAGCAAATGGTGCAGGGGAATAATTGGAATGACAGTGATTGAAAGTGGAGAAGACACTAAATTTACTGTCACACAGACGGGTATCTAACTGTCTTGTGGCAACGTTCTCTCAGTAAATTTTTTCCTCTAAAACAACTAAAAATAGTCTCGGTGTAAATATCTGGTAATACTTTCTGTTATTTTTTTTTTTAAGTTGATTGATTCGTGTAGATTTTGACACTTTGAAGCTGTGTTGACTTTAGACAAACCAAACGGAAATCACTTCGGATTTTATGAGTATTTTAGGAAAAGATGTACTTTCGATTTTTTTTTTTAATTAACAAAGTAAAACATACACACATATGCATATAGCGGGTGTCCCAGAGTACCTATTCCAGTCAAATATTTCAATTATTTTAAAACATAAAAATTTGAACTTGTTCAATATATGTAAAACAATCTACTAAATGAGTAGAATATTGGCATAGTATTAGCTTCAGTTTCACCGAAAATGTAGCTACCTATTGTAATAATTAACAAATTTGTTACCGATAATCATGTAAAAATTGTTCCAGCACGACTACAGTGTATTGGTAAATTATAAAATCAATTGTACGATCTCTGCAAAATAAACATGTTTGTTTGTTGATTTGTGTATCATTGTAACGAAGCGAATTTTCGCGGGCCGGAAACCGTGACGCGTACTGCGAGAGCCGGATTCTTGCCCCAAGCTTCAGGGAGTGCGGAAGGCTGTGGCTGGGTATTTTTGAGAAGTGAGAAGTGAGCAGTTCGACCCTCCGACCACCTTAAGTACCTTTTGGGTCGCCTGCCTGTTTTGTACCGGTTTTGAAGTCGCCGCCCCCGAGCGAAAAACCGTGTCACCGTCACCGGGAAGAACCCATCCTAAGGGAAGTCGCCGCCCAGGAGGAACGACCGTGCCGGGCATTTAATTCTATTTGTTTGTTTAATTTGTTAGTTAATTAAGACTTAGTCGTAAGAGATATTATTTTAGACCGTGTAGCTGGTGGCAGGGAATAAACCCTATTTATTGTAAAATATCCTTGCCGTTTGATTTTATCTATTCTCGTGTTTTCGCGAGCGCTCACCACCTGAATTCCGTGTCTCCGGCTTTAGAGCACCCCGGCGCTCCCTCCCCCAGAGAGGGAGCTGGCGCCCGAGCGACCGCCGCTCCTGACCGAAGGCACCACCCCCGGCGGGGTGAAGGTCGCCGCATAACCTGGGTCGACCAGACGTGTTTCTGATATCAGCGATACTAGTCGACCCAAAGTTTGGCACCCAAGTACGCCGCCACCATTCGTTATCGGCGAGATTCCAGACCGTCACCATCTGGAATTTCGTCGCATCATTAATCTAATGTATCTCTTTTTTTTATTACACGAGATTACTCATTTCTTGATAGTGAGAAACAGAAAAAGAAAAAAATGTCTTTGTACCTATCTAGAAAGCCTAGAAAATTTTCCACACGTTTTAAATCTGGTCCATCTTTTCCAAAAATTTTTAAATTTGATAACCAATTTTTAACTGATAATACATATATGCAACCAATCAAAATGCATGCAAATTTGAATTTTAACAAATAGCAACAGTATTACAGTGAATAAACACCCAAGTTCAGGTAAGGATGTGTTTAATCACTAGAGATACAGTAATGTTAGAACAGAATAGTGAATTTTTATTTTGACATTCAGAACAGTTGAAAAAAAATGTACCGTAGTTATGGAATGTTACTCCACTACCTTTAGTCTTATTTTCTGAAACTGTTAAACTCGAACTCGACTGTTCTATTAGTTCCATATGATGTATTATGGGGGTGCCCATAAATGAAATTTGGGCATTACTAGAAAAGGCCGGGACTTATTTACCTACACACTGCCAATAACCAACTGTATTAAAACTGTTGGAAAAGGCCCAAGAGAAAATCTTGATGAGCATTACCCGAGTACGCGGGAAAAGAAATTCGTAATAAGAGCTTACAACATTTGTACTTCGTATTTGCGTCAAGGTTGTTCGACGACTTTTTTATGTGGGGAGGAATTCCCACTCAACAACATTACATCAAATTCGTTATAATGAAAGATTTTTAACACAACGAGTTTAAGCATTACCAAATCCGTAGTCCCGTTTCAGGCTTCATGGGTTAGTTATAGGGTGAACCTGCTTTACATCAAAAATGGATAAACTTTTGACACAAATTGAGCTCTTCTGCATTTTGCGTAAGTGTTAGTGTTCAGTAAACGTGTTGGTTTGTAGATTGTTTACGTTTTAGTAGTAGCTGTCAGTGGTCACGAGAATAGAAACGGGAATTTTAATGGGAATTTCACGCGAATACCTCGTCAAATTAACGGGTAAGTTTCGAAAACGAAACATTGGTATGAGGAGTTTTTTTTTTACATCTTCGCACTAAATTTCAGCTGCGCATTACCAAATCAGCCAAAATTTGGGCGATGGACTAGCTATCGATCAGTTGCCTCGTCATCTCCTGGTGATATTGTACCTTTAGGCACAATTCTTGAAGTGAGTTGTACCGATAATTATAAATTGAATGGTGATGAGACAATTGCTTGTCTTCGTGGGGAATGGAAACCTCAAATCGGAAAATGTTTGCGTAAGTTACTTATTCATTAATTCTAAAGGTCTTTGATAATTTTTCAACTAAAGTTTGAATGTCATTAAAGTTAAAATGGGTCGTTTTGGTAAAGTTGTGGCGTGTGTCGACATAGTAATGCTTTATGATGTGCGCGAACATTTACATCAGTGGTACAGCATCTCCGAGATCGTGGTACCATCAAGCCTTAAACTCACGATCGTGTCCGTGATAGGACCGACGGGATACTGCAAACTGAACAACAAATTTTGGAACGCGTCAAAGAACAAGGCTTACATCCGTACCACGTTCAAAAAGTGCAAGCTTTGGAGCCCGCTGATTTTCCAACTCGTGTAATTTTCTGCGAATTGTGGTTACAGCAATGTCGTGAACGCCCCAACTTTTTAAATTGCATTCTGTTTTCTTACATTTGATCCGATGAAAAACCGCACGCTCGTCAACAAGTACGATTTCAGCGACGGTTTTCCATAAATGTGTATCGTAAATGACCGCTTAGTTGAACCTACCAAACAGACTAAATAACAATTTTCCTAACCAGTGAGTCGGTAGAGACGGCCCAGGAGCTTGGCGTCCGCGTTCACCCGATCTCAATCCGTGCGATTTTTATCTGTGGGGTTCGATGAAACAGTTAGTTTATGGAAATCAACAGTGCCCAGGAGTTTTTTTAAGTATCAGTGCAAACATGTTGCGACATGCTGAAACCTGTGTTGCTAGTCAAGACATTAGAGATAAGCGTGAAGAATGGAAGCGAGCTAAGGAAGAAATGGGAAAAAGAGTGGGTGAAGTAGAAAGTCAACTAGATCTAATGGAGAGAGAAAAGAGAAGAAAGAAAGTAGTGATGATGGGACCAGAAATAGGAACAGGAGAGCAGAAGCAGATAAAAAGAAAAGCTGACAAAATGTTTAGAAGAGAAAGCCAAAGTAGAGAGTAAAGTTAAAAGCGCGTACAAAATTGCAGAGAAAACGTATGTAGCGGAATTCGAAAATAGAGAAGAAAAAATAAATGTAATGAAAAGCAAGAGGAAGTTAAAAGGGTCGTCAATTTACAGAAATCATGATCTGACGAAAACGGAAAGAAAAATTCAAATCAAACTAAAACAAGAAGCAACAAAATGGAGAAATAAAGGAAAAATGGTTAGAATGGGATATAAAAAGTTAACTATAGATGACAGACATTTTGAATGGAATGAAAAAGAGGGCAGACTCCAGAAGGTAGAAAATTGTTAGTAAAGAGCCACAGAAAAGGAAGAAAAGGAGTAAAAATGGAAGGAAAAGGAAAAGAAATAAAGGATGCAGATTGCGAAATCGGAAAAAGGGAAGCAAGTACAAAATTAGGAGAAAAAGGGCTGAAGGTACTGTTTTGGAATGTCCAAGGGTTGCAAAAAAAGGAAAAGGAGTTCTGGGACTACGTGGGAAAATTTGATGAGGTGGGGCTAGTAGAGACATGGATACAAAGAGAAAACTGCGAGAAATTTGAAGAAACACTACCACAAGAATATGTGCGGGAGTGTCAAAGGGCGACAAAGAAAAAGAAAAAGGGGAGAGCTAGCGGGGGAATAGTAATGGAAATTCGATAAGAAATGCAAGAATTGGAAAAGAGAAGTAATAATAAAAACGGACTAATGAAGAAAGTATTACAGCTGGATAACAACCGATGGAAAATAATAATCGTTTATAGCAAGAAAATGGAGGAAACCAAGATAAACATAGAAAAGGAAACAAACTGGGAGACTGGGCGATAAAAGGACAAGAATAATAGATAAAGAAAAGGGAGAGAAAAAAGGATCAAAAGACAAAATAAATTACAAAGAAAGGAAAATATTGTGGAAGATAACAGAAGAAACGGGATGGGAAATTTTGAACGGAAACAAGGAAGGAGATGAAGAAGGAGAATGGACGTACGTAGGGGCTAGGGGATTGTCAACGAACAGACGTGGGAAGAAATAGAGGGTTTCAAAGTGGGAGGAAGGGTAGAAAATAAAAGAAAAATTAAAGGAAAAGAGCAAAAGTACAAAAAACAAGAAAGATGAAACGGAAGAAAAGAAATAGAAAAAAGTACAGAAGTAGACTAGAAAACAAGAAATTCCAACTAAAAGAAGATACCTATAGATGATATGATAGCAGAACTGATCGACTTAATTGTAGAAGCTACGGAAAAAAGAAAGATATACATATGGCAAGGGAGGAATAATTGATGGAACGGAGAATGTAGTGAGTTGAAGAGAAAACCAAGGGAAAAATTAAGAAAATGGAAGAATAACAGGGAAGGGAAGAAGAGTACTTAAAAGCAAGAAAGAATTATAGGAGAAAATGTGAAGAAAGAGAAAGAGAAAAACGAGAAGAAGAAGAACAGAAGACAAAAAGTCCCTGAAAGCAGAAGAAGAAGTATGGAGATATATAAACAAGGAACGGGGAAGGAAGACTGAAACCAGTAGGAAAATCAAAATACATGAATGGAAAAGACACTTTATGGAATTATTGTGAGGTTGAGGAAAAATTCTGCAAAATAAATAAAGGAATCACAACGACGGAAGAAATGTTGAGATGTTCGGAAATAACAGAAGATGAAATAGGAAGAAAGATTGAAAGACTGAAAAGAGGAAAGGCACCAGGAGGGGATGGAATCCAGAACGAAGCGTGGATGTTCGGGACAGAAGGAGTGAAAGAATGGATATGAGAAGTGGTAGATGGAGTTTGGAAGGGAAAAGGGTTTTCTCGGCAGTGGAGAGAAGGTATAATAATCCCTTTATTTAAAAAGGGGCAAAAAAGTGATGTGAAGAATTATCGAGGGATTACCTTGCTCAATACGGCGTACAAGATATACGCAATGATACTAGATGAGAGGTTACGAAAGGAGATGAAAGCAAGGGGTATGTTACCAGACGGTTAGGCAGTGTTTAGGAAAGGAAGAGGTATTATGGACAATGTGTACATCCTGAGGCATTTAGTGGGAAGAGAAATAAGGAAAGAGGGTGGACGAATATACGTAGTGTTCATAGATTTCAAAGCAGCGTTTGATAGCGTGAATAAAGAGAAAATGTGGGAGTATTTGATGAGAAAGGGAGTAGATGCGTACCTGGTAACCAAAATGGAAGAAATATATGAAGAAACAGTAAGTAAGGTGAGAGTGAATGGAATAGAGTGAGCGAGAGTTTTTATACAAATAGAGGAGTGAGATAGGGATGCCCACTCAGCCCCGAATTGCTTCCAGCTTATCTAGGAGATATAGATGAAATGTTCAGAAAAGCACACACAGGAGGGGTGGTAGTGGGCAACGAGATAGTGTGGTCGTTGGCGTACGCAGATGATTTGGTGATTGTGGCAAAGAAAAGAGAAGAAATGAAAACAATGATTAAAAGTTTCCAAAAGTACGTACAAAAAAAGAAATTGGAAGCGAATGTGGAAAAAACAAAAATGGTGGTGTTTGGGAAGAAAGAAAGAAAGGAGAAGGAAGAGTGGGCATGGAGAGGGTAGAAGATTGAACAGGTGAAAGAATTCCAGTAGTTAGAATATACATTAAAGAGCAATAATTCAGATAGAGCGCATATTCAAGAAATGGTCTGAAAAGCGAACAAAGTGACAGGAATAGTATGGGGAACAGGAGAGAGAAAATTTGGACATGATTATAAGAGAAGAATGATGATGTTTGATAGTTTGATTAAAAGTGTATTTATGTACGGAGCTGAGATTTGGGGATGGAGGAAATATGAAGAAATAGAGAGAGTGCAAGAAAAATACTTAAAATGGACATTGGGATTGGAAAAGTATACACCGGGGTATATAGTGAGAGAAGAAACAAAAAGGGAGAACGTGAGAGTGGAAGCAGGTAAAGGGGCGGTTGGATTTGAAGAGAAGTTTAGTGAGAGAGGTGACTGTAAAATATTGCATGAATGTTGGAAAGAAATAAGAAAGGAAGGGGGAAAACATGTTTGGAGCGAAAGAGACAAGTATTATGAAGGGAAGGGATATGCATGTGAAGAAATAGAGAGAATGAGAGAAATGGGAAGGAGTATGAAAGAAGAACTGAGTGTAAGAGATTTTGCCTCTTTCGAATTTTAATTTGTTTTTTCTATATTTGCACATTACTACGGTACCGAAATTATCCTATATAGCATGTTTTAACAATTCGTTCCAGGTCCTGTTCAGGTTATTATATAATAATTGAATTTAGTGTTTTTCACATCTGTTGTCATGAAATTATCACAATCAATTTGCTTTTTGCCAGTTTGACCCGAAAAACCATCACAGTCTCTGGACCCCTGTGTGGTCTCGAAATTTATATAACGCTGTAATAGTCAGCAATTTTTCTTTCTCTCTACGTTTGTTAGATATAATAAATAAAATGTGCCTTAATGTTGCCATTTAACATTTTTTAAATTTCATTTTGTTGATATATTCATATTACAGGCACTTGTCCCTCCATATACAGCACAGCGGCTATGACAGTCAGCTGTACGTACGACGGGAAAATCCTAAAATCTTGTAGAGATCCTTTGGCTGGTACAAGAGCAAGATTTCAGTGTGCTCGATTTTATGAAACCCAAGGACTGAATAAGTTTCCAGTGCGAGTATGCTCCAATGGGCAGTGGAGTAGTGGCCTGCCAGAATGTGTACCAGGTACATTTTTGAAGCCATATTGATACAGTTACCCATACTGTTTTCGTTTTAAGTGTGCGGAAAAAAAGGAATCACAAAAGATCCCACGCTGATTGTTGGAGGTATCAATACTACATCTTTAGAGTATCCCTGGCAAGTGGCTTTGTATACAAAGAATACGAAAACCTTAATCTGTGCAGGCACGTTACTAAATCAAAAGACAATCGTAACAGGTGATCCAGTAAAAATATTAACTGTGGTAACTGAGGCATGTTGTTACAGCTGCCCATTGTATAACAGATCTAAATGGTAAACTACAGTCAAAAGAACTCTATATTGTAGCCGTTGGAAAAACCTATCGAGAATACAACGACTCAAGAGACACCAAAAGCCAGTTTTCTTCTGTAAGTGCCAACAATTTTTCAATCAATACTTACTACAACTTGCAAATTACCTCAATTTCTTTTATTTTTAGATACAGGAGATGTACATTCCTAGACAATACAAAGGAGACATTCGACGTTATTTTGGCGACATCGCAGTCCTAATCACTACTAAAACCTTCGCTCTTTCGACAAACGTTCAACCGATTTGTGTCGTTTGGGAAAAAAGTTTTCACCAGTCACTTGAAAATCCGGCTCGAATCAAGCATGCTTACGTAAACGGCTGGGGCTTCACTGCTGAAAACAAAGATCCTTCAGATGTTCTTAAAACATTGGCAGTCCCTCTTATAACTAATAGTGAATGTGAACAAAAATTGGGTCAAGATGATATACAGTATCTGGCTGATGATAAATTATGTGCTGGTTTCTTAGATTCTGGTGAGTTGATGACCTTCGGTCTATAATCAAGGGAAACACTCAGTGCTTGTGAGTTCGCTCTAGAAGACTCTGTATAATTCATACCACGTCATAAACTGAAGGGTTGATGAGTCACTTTTAGGTATGTCTGTATGTAAAGGTGATAGCGGTGGAGGCCTGGTTTCCAAATATGATGACAGGTACTACATCATAGCAGTTGTCAGTCTTGCTCCACAAGCACCCTCTGCTGAAGGTGGATGCAATAGTCAAACATATGGTTTATATACCAGTTTTTCGTATTACATTGAAGACTTTATAATCGACATAGAAGCTAGATTTAGACCGTAGGTGCACTTCACATTTAGTGTCTTTAGTATGATTCATAATTTTAACTATAGCTACCACCATGTACACTGCCCTGACAATAATTGTCTGGTTTCTTCATCGCAACTGTCAACAACTGCCAGAACAGTAACGTATGTACAAAATATTGATATTACGATAATAAAATGTTAGACAAATACATCTACAGATTTACAGGTTGTACGTTACCCAACTATCCCGAACATGGTAGGTGGATCATTTATGGATCATCATCAAACCAGTTTTTACCAGGAAACATAGTAGCACCAAATACTGTTTTAAAAATAGAATGCAGGAGATACTACACTCTCACTGGGGACAAATTCGTCATTTGTGATAATGGACACTGGTTGTCTGGAATTGGACTTTGTTTACGTATGTATAGTTTGTTTTTTATACTATTGGTTTCACTTTTTACTTTTAACAATTGTAGCAATTGTCGGATCAACACAGTCACCACCACTAAACAGAAGCACATGTGGTATTTCACCTTTAGGCGACAAACAGTTAGTCATAGACCCTAATCCATCATCAATCAAGTACCCATGGTTAGCCGCAATATATAGGGTTACCGATATAGGTGTAGAGTACAGATGCGCTGGATCTTTGATATCTAATAAACACGTAGTAATCGGTAAGTAAAACAGCGTCTTTCACAACACGCTGAACGTGTGTTCTGTTAGTAGTTTCATTTTAAACTTCTTGTTTAGCCGCCCACTGCCTGTATTCAAAAGGTAGCAGCATCTCTCCCGAAAATCTTATAGTTAAGTTGGGCAAGCTCACACTTACGGAAGATGGCACAATAATAAGGAAAGTGGACAAAGTTACAACTCATCCAAACTACGCACCTAGTAGCCCTAACGCTGATATAGCAGTCGTGGAATTATCTAAAGTCACTGAGATTTCGAATTATGTTCGACCCGTATGTATTGGCTCGGGTGATGATCTTGACAAAATTGTTGGACAACGTGGTATAGTAGTTACCTGGCGTGACTCTGAAAATGGTAGTGTGAGTAATAAACCTAGAGAAGTTAGGATGACCATAGTAAGTCAAGAAATGTGTTTGAGGTCGTCAGTGGTCTTCACAGAGATAACATCAGACACAATTTTTTGTGCTGGTAAGTGTAATTAATTTCCTATATTACTTGTTTCTTTCCTTTGTGTGTTAAATAAATGCACTCTTATTAAAATTAATGTTATTATTATTATTTTAGGTGACCGAGACAGTCCCAGTTTTTGCCCATTTTCTGGAGATGGTCTCGTAATAAAACGCAACGGGTTATGGACTCTTGCAGGAATAACATCATTTGCTGTATATGATAGTGTTAAAAAACGATGTGATTTGTCGGAGTATGTTGTTTTTACAAATGTCAACAAATTCGAGGGTTGGTTGTCATCAATTATTAATGAATAATAAAGATAGATATTATATGTATTATTTGCATTTCTTTTTTACTAAGAATGTGTTATATGTACTGTTACGTTGATAGGTGAATAAAATCGGCGTGGGTAAAACTCAACAATTTATTTCTTAGTAGCTCAAATTTACACATCTAATCACACAGCGATTATGTACAAAATAATTCCGGCGCAACTTCAGTGTCACACAAGTCAAGTTAAAAATGGTAGGGACTTTTGAAAAACTGGGTTAAAAGAAAAAGTTGTCTAAAAATCCACACAAAGTCCGGAATACTGATCTCAATATACTAATTCGAGAAATATAGTGTAGGTATGAGTAATTTTTTTTTAAATCCTAAAAATTACCACATTTGAAATGGGCGATTCTGGAGAAACGGTAAGAATTTTTAAAGCAGTTAAGCTCAAAATAACTTTGATGGTAAACGAAAAAGTGTCTTCATACGAAGGGAGTTTTAGAAAATAGAACATTTGAAAAAATTGACTAAAATTTACAAAATACTCCAAGACCTACTATATCTCGACGTACTGATGTGAAAAATATAACATGTTTTTGGTCCTGGAGCAATTTGAAATTTAGAAATTTAAAAATTACCATAATTTAAATGGACAAATCTAGACAAATGGTAGGAATTTTCGAAGAAATTAAGCCCAAAATAACATGTGGAGGTAGATATCTATAAAAAAATATGTGTAGGTAATTCTTCAAGGTCCAAAATTTTTGGGAAAGTTAACTATAAATCATCAAAAGTTCCGCGATTTGGATCCCCACAATTTAGAAATAGTTGTTTTAAAAATGAAGCCGTAAATAAATTCTGGAGATCGTAATCTACAATCGAATCCTTTTGATAACTTTCCAAAGTGGCCGAAAAAGATCGAAAATTTCCTTAAAAGAGAAAATTGAAAAATGGAGTTTTTGGAAAAACTGCGTAAAAATTAACAAAAAATTTCAAGATACAGATTTCGACGTGCTATTAAAATGGTCCTGGAAAAAGATTTTCGAAATATTCGGTTTGAAAATTTTGGTTTTTTATTCTAAAAATTACCATTTTTCAAATGGGTGATTCTGGAAAAATGGTAGGAATTTTCGAGGAAATTAAGCGGTAAATAAATTCTAGAGCTCGGAATTGACAGACAAATATGTTGGTAATGTCCGAAGGTACTCGAAAAGGATCTAAAATTTCCTTAGAGGGGAATATTGAAAAATGGACTTTTTGGAAAAGTTGCCTAGTAATAATTAAAAAAATTCTTGAATATAGATTTCGATGTGCTCATGCTAAAAATATATCGTGTTTGGGTTTCTAGGATAATATTTTCGAAATATTTGCTTTAAAAATCAATTTTATAATAACCCTAAAAATTGCCATATTTTAAATAAGCGATTCCGGAAAAATGGTAGGAATTTTCGAAGAAATGAAGGGATAACTAAATTCTGGAGCTCGGAATATATAGACAATCTCTTTTGGTAATTTTCGAAGCTAGTCGAAAAGGATCGAAAATTTTCTTAGAAAAGAGTATTGAAAAATGGAGTTTCTAGAGAAGTTGCCGAAAAATTCACAAAAAATTCCACAACACAGATTTCGACGTGCTGATTAAAATAATATCGTGGAGAAAGAAAGTTTTTCGAAGTATTGGCTTTGAAAAGCTTTTTTTATTTTAAAAATTACCACTTTTCAAATGGGCGTTTCTGGAAAAAAGGTAGGAATTTTCGAGGAAATGAAGCCCTAAATAAATGGAGGTCGTAATCTGCAGTCAAATCTCTTTTGGTAATTTCCGAACGTGGTCAAAAAGGACCAAAAATTTCTTTAGAGGGGAGTATTGAAAAATGGAGTTGCTGAAAAAGTCGCCTATAAATTCAAAAAAAATTCCTGGATATAGATTTCTACGAGCTGATTCGAAAAATTCAGCGTGTTTATGCTCCTCCAGAAAGCATTTCGAGATGTCCCCTTTAAAAATAAATTTTATACAAATCCTAAAGGATATCATTTTTCAAAAAGGCGAGTCTGGAAAAATGGTAGAAATTTTCGAAGAAATTAAGCCCAAAATAGCATGTGGAAGTAGAAATTTGCAAAAAATCGCAGTAGGTAATGTTCAAAGTGGCAGAAATTTTCTACGGGGAAAATTTGGAAAACGAAACATCTCTGAAAGTTGACCAAAATTCCACAAAAAATTTGGGATATGGATCTCGACGTGGTGATTCAAAAACCGAAATAACTTCTGGAGATCGAAATATGCAAAAAGATCCCTATGGAATTTTCGAAGCTGGTTGAAAAAAGCCAGAGCGGAGAAGTATTGAAAAATTGGGTTTTTAGAAAAATTGCCTAAAAAATCTAGGGTATAAATCTCCACATACTGATACGAAAAGTATAACGTGCTTATTAATTAGGTCCCAGCATCCAAGAAAAAAAAGTAGAACAGTTCGTTCATAAAAATTGCGGAAAAAATTAATCTATTTTAGTTGATTTGTTGTTAGGATCTTGCAAAAAGCGGAAACACTTTAAAACCGGTACCGAAAAGAAATTCCTAAAGACGAGTTTACAATATTTACAATATTTACACTCGTTACGTACTACACCAAGGTTGTCCGACGACTTTTGTGTGTGAAGAGGAATTCCCAATCATCAACATTACGTCGGGTTGTCTATAATGAATGATTTTTTTCAAAACGAGTTTCAGTGTTCCCAAATCAGTGAGTGAATGAATTAGTTACGAAAAAATGAAGAAAAAATTAAAACTTTTGAGGCAAATACTGATTTCCGGCATTCTGCGTAAGAAAGTACTTTCAGTAAATGTATCCGTTCGCATTTGCTTTACGTTTCAGTAGTAAAAGTCAATGGCCATGAGCACAGAAACGGGAATTTCAGCGGGAATTTCGTACGGATACCTCGTCAATTATAGACCAATTTCTTCTTCATCCCCTGGTGATACTGTACCCTTAGGCACAATTCTAGAAGTGAGCTGTAATAATAACTATAAATTAGATGGTGATGAGACCATTGCTTGTATTCGTGGGAAATGGAAACCTGAAATCGGGAAATGTTTGCGTACGTTATTCATTCATACTAAAGACTATTGCCATTAATTGTGTTTATTTTCAGGTACTTGTCCCTCCATACACAGCACAACGGTTATGACAGTGACCTGTACGTACGATGGCAAATCATTAAAATCTTGTAAAGATCCTTTGGACGGTACAAGAGCAAGATTTCAGTGTGCACAGTTCTATGAAGCTCAAGGGTTTTTCAAGTTTCCAGTGCGAGTGTGCTCAAATGGCCAGTGGAGCGGTGGTCTGCCAGAATGTGTACCAGGTAAATTTTTAACGCACTGTTCTTTACCTAACTGCTTTTCTGGAATGAAGATTGTTATAATAATGAAGGGTGGTCATTAGTGTTTTTGTTTTAAGTGTGCGGAAAAAAAGGTATCACAAAAGACCCCACACTGATTGTCGGAGGTTCCACTACAACATCTTTAGAGTATCCCTGGCAAGTGGCTTTATATGTAAAAAGTACAAAAACGTTAATCTGTGCAGGAACGTTACTAAATCAAAAGACAATCGTAACAGGTAATCTAGTGAAAATATCTACGGTGGTACCTGAAGCTTGTTGTTACAGCTGCCCATTGTATAACAGATCTAAATGGTAAACTACAATCAAAAGAACTCTATATTGTAGCCGTTGGAAAAACGTATCGAGATTATGACGATTCAAGAGACACCAAAACCCAATTTTCTTCTGTAAGTGCGAAAAATTTTGCAATAAATACTACAAATTGCAAATTATCTCATTTTCTTTTATTTTTAGATACAGGAGATGTACATTCCTAGACAATACAAAGGAGACATTCGACGCTACTTTGGCGACATCGCAGTCCTTATCACCACTAGAACCTTCACTCTTTCCATAAATGTGCAACCCATTTGTGTCGTTTGGGAAAAAAGTTTTCACCAATCACTTGAAAATCCAGCTCGAGACCAAAATGCGTACGTTAGCGGCTGGGGCTTTACTGCTGAAAACAAAGATCCTTCACATGTTCTTAAAACATTGGAAGTTCCGCTCATAACTAACAGTGAATGTGAGAAAAAATTAGGTGAAGATGATTTGCAGTATCTGGCTGATGACAAATTATGTGCTGGTTTCGTAGACTCTAGTGAGTTTTTATGCTTATTCAGTAGTTGTCAAGCGTTTGCCAAAAACGACGATGATCTTCGGACTTAGTTACAATTACAACTTCGGTCAAAAGATAAGACTCTTCTTGTTGCTGGAGTTCAACTTATTGAACATGAATAGGGAAATACTAAAGTAAATAAGTAGTTATATTAACAACACGTATCTAGCAGTGTAGAAGCATCGGACTTCAGATTTCTTCCGTGATTTTTTAAATTTTTGCTCTAGTTACTCATGATGCATACGTCAGCAGTGAAACGTCAGTTGTGTATTCGCATACCTATATTGTAAAGTCGTGGAATTACCTCAAGTCAAATTTTTTCTCTATCTTATACACTTTGTGGGAGACAAAAAATCACCAAATTTTGAGTTGGTCGCAGTCTTATTGTAAAATTTTGAAATTTGTGATTTGTCCCAATCAAAATTGAAGCGATTTAACGGCCAAGCCAAACAAATAATTTTAAATGCGTTAGACTATCTTGATAGAAACCAAGATGTTTTGGAATTTAAGAGAAAAAAGGAAGACAGAACTGACCGCAGAAATGTTGAAAATTTCGAAAAGATCTGTCTACAGTCCAGAAGTTAGTTTCAGCCCACTTTTTCAAAAGTTCCTACTATTTTTAACTTGACTTTCAAACATGTTTAAATGTTTCATGACAAATTGGCAATCATAACGCTGTATGTATTGTTACAAAAGAAACCCATCCATCGCCCCGGTACGACGCTTATGGGTTCTAATTATGTACGTCGCCGATGATTCATTGTCGGTGACGGCGGCCGGAAAAGCGTCTGGAAGCGGAAGTCGCGAATGGGTCCAGAGAGGTCTAGAAACGGTGACGTAGGCATTTCGAGAAGGACCGCGTGCTGTTTAAATGGGAACCACCGTCGCAGTAATTAGTGTAGTCCAGACAATTACTTTAAACATACTGATACAATTTTAGATATTGCAGAACAGAATGAAATTGTTATTAATATTAATAATTCGGATGATAGTGAGAGTGGAAGTGAGGATGATAACAGTAGCCTTTAAGATTTTTCGTTTTTTAATGAAGTTCAATTAATCAGGTAATTAAATGGTTCAATTTATAAAAAAGGAAAGTCAAAATTTACTATTTTTTAGTTGATGGGTTTAACATAATAGCAGAATATAATAGTTTTTGATGGTGTATTGTATTCTTTCATCAAAATAAAGTTGTTGTATGAAATATAACAATTAGAAACAGGACGTACGCTACTAATTAATGAGTCTCCCAACTTAAAAATCCAATTTACAAAAAAAGTTTATTATTGACGTTCATATTTTAGTACCTGTACCTTTGAATTATTGCGAATTTGAAATTTAGATTTATCCATAGCAACATATTCGTAACATATAAGAAATCACCTACGAAAAGTTACTAAAAAATGTCACATTATAAGTGCTTTTGACGAGGGGTATTTCCACGACTATAGCTTTTAATCATTCTCATAAATAACCATAAATACTGACTTCACGCAGAGTTTTATACGTGGCTATTTCCACTGAGTGGGAGTGAAATAAACTTATACCAAAATTCGTTTCAAGCAGACAGAGTTAAACATAATCCCATAAGAAGCAATGAGGTCAATGACCACGTTTCACCGTAGATGATGCAGGTGCAAATGATGGTGTACATTTCATTTCATTTTCATAAATTTCTTTAATTACGAACTCCAGATTGTTTGGGTAATCAAGAAATAGTACGTCCCAAAGCTGAAAATGGGTTAATTTTGAGAAACGATTATCATTTAAAAACAGTGTCGAAATTTGTGCAATAAAAAATGAGAAATAGCTCACAATACGATTTATTGCACTGGAGTGGACCTTATGTTTTACGAAACAGACTAAACGCGGTACAGTACCTCGACTTTTTAAACGATGTGTTTTAAGAGCAGCTAGATGTGGAAGTGCATGTAGGTGAAAGAGTTCGTATGTGGTACGTACATGATGGAGCACCACCACATTTTGCTAGGCCAGTAACTGAATGGTTAAATAACCATTTTCCTAACCAGTGGGTCGGCAGAAAGGCCCCAGTATCTTGGCCTCCGCATTCCCCCGATGTCAATGCGTGTGATTTTTGTCTGTGGGCTTGCATAAAACAGTTAGTTTATGGAAATCAACAGTGTCTAGAAACTATCGAAGAGCTTCAATAACGAATGGAAGCAGCAGCCGCTACAGTTCGTGGAACCTCCGGAGTTTTTTTACGTATCCATGCAAACGTGTTGCCAGTGCTGAAGCCTACATTGCTAGTCAAAGACAACATTTTCAGCATTTGTTTTACGTGATGTCGTGGTTACAACTGCTTCCATTTTTATATTTAGGGATATAAACGTACTCCTAAAACACTAGTGTTTTATGGATTTTATTCAATGGCGATGTTTTGTTGGTTGCCTATTTACAGATACAAAAATAGAAATTGTTATAATCTCAACTTATTAATTGTTGTCCATCAGTCAATAAAATCGCAGAAAATCTACGAAATGTGTGTCCAGAAAATGATTCTGGATTTGATAACTTCAAATATGTTGCCATTTCTTTCACCATAGCACCAAATTCATTTATGCCAATCCTTTGGCTAGTATTTCTTCCTTTCTGATAATTTAAAAAGAATGCTTGAGATGATACTTCCGCTCGTCTTGAATGCAGATATTTTTTACAGATTGTGCAGAAATTTTCAACACATTTTTTGAAATGTAATCTTCACTTTTACCTTTTTCCAGAGCCTGGAATTTATAATATGGCAATCTTTATATTATGATTAACGTTAAGCGTAATTGATAACCTGGAATAGTAGTCCAAAGTGATGAACATTTATATTTATTCGCAGTTCTTCAAAATAAACCAAAATTACCCATTCCGAAAACGAATTAATGTCATTCTTTCTTTTCCATTCTATAAATTGTTTGTATATAATTTATTCGATTTTTCCGGAATGAGGTGCAAGAAATACTTCATCACTTTCCATTGAAAAACACAGCGGAAAAACGCAGAAAAAAGTACACATCGTATAACTTACAATTTTTGATTTTGGAAACAAAGAAATGTGGAAAGAGACTGCAGTCCGGTGGTACCATCCTTATACAAGCACCACTTCTGAGAGAATTTTCGGTCGGCGGTGTCGTTTAACCCCAGCATGCCTTCGCAAAATTAAGGGTCCAACAAAAAATTCGTCATGGAAGAATTCAACAAGAAAGCCAAAGAGCAAGAGGATTTGGGGAAGAAAATTCAAACTCTCCTAACCAACGCGAGGAAAGACACCGCAAAAAGAAAAACCCAGAATTGGCGATCCAAAAGAGCAGAGCAACTCCAAGAATTTTTTGAATGAGTTTCAGCGAAAAAAATAAAAGCGTTGCACGAAGATGCGAAGAAATACCTCGAATCAGTTCAGACGTCGCCCGACGTCGACCCGGAACAAGAAACCCGCATCCGACGTCAATTATTCAGACTACAGAAAATATCCACCGAGCTGACCAAGATAAAGAGCGATTTAGATCAGGACTACAGCCGAGCCAGGTATGAACTTCTAGCCGAAACAATCCAAGGTCAGTGGAGAAGCATCATGGAACTGCATGAAGAAATCTACGTCCATGAAAAGGAATTCGAAGACAAATATTTTGCCGACGAATTGTACGAGAAGACTGAAGAAAAGTACGAGGTTGTGGCCGAAAAACTGAAAGGAAAAATCCAGTCACCGTTCGCTCATCAACAGGAGAAACCAAACATCCAATTACCCCAAATTAAGCTTCCAACGTTTAGCGGGAATTATGAAGATTGGCCCACATTTCACGATCTATTCAGCAAAGTGATTCACAAAAATACATCGCTCTCCAACATTGAAAAGATGCAGTATCTGAAGACGTACATCAGAGATGAGCCCAGCAGAGTCATCCAACATCTTCAGATAACGGAAAATAATTACGAAACTTCATGGGAGCTGTTGGCAAAAAGATTCAGCAATATAAGGCTTACCGTAAGTAAGTTAGTAGACAAAATTTTGGATCAGCCAAGAATACAGGAAGAATCAGCAGAAAAGCTGAAAAAATTAGATGACACGACAAAGGAATGTCTAGAAGCATTAAACAATTTAGACATTCAGACCGACACGTGGGGACCAATACTCACCAAAATAGTCTCTCAAAAATGGGACACAGAAACAAAAAGACTGTATGAACAGTCATTGACCAACCCACACGATATGCAGGAATTCGAGAAGATAATGGAGTTTCTGCAGACAAGATTTCTAATCTCTCGAGATAATTACGGCAAACAAGAAAGAAGATGCCGAGTTTAACAAAGTGGAAACAATTTCCAACTTAAAATCATGCAGATATTGCGAAGAATGCCATTCAATTTACGAATGTCCTGACTTCCAAGCCGAATCGCCAGAAGACAGATGGAGATTCATAAACAACGAACAGCTGTGTACAAACTGCCTAAGCCACGATGGAGGCAAACAATGCTTCAGCACAGCATCATGCCATAAATGCAGAAGAAGACACCATACATTATTACACAACGACTGAAGAAGCAACCCAAAGGTCAACCAGCAAAAAACATTCAACTCAACAAACAATCAAACTCCAAACTCTGGAGAGAACTCAACGAAGAAAATTCAAAGCCATGTAGGCATTGAAAACAAACAGGTACTTCTGGCCACAGCGCTAATACGAGTACGAACAGCAAATGGAACCTACGAATACCTACGAGCCCTTATTGACCCGGGATCACAGGCATCGCTCATAACAGAGAACACATTCAAGCCGATATAACTAGACTTGGAGGAGAAATACCGAACTCCAAAATTAGAGTTGAGTGCGCTCCACGATTTTCGAGTGATTTCACACTCACAACAGACCGACTGGTACTACCAAAAATTACAGAATCCCTACCAGAAGAAGACATCGAAACAGATCTTCAGGTGTGGCAGAATCATATCATCGCGGATCCAGTCTTTCAAGATAAGGGCCCAATTGATGTATTGCTGGGCGCGGGTGAATACCGCAACATAATACTCAACGGTATCCAAAAAACAAACGATGGTTTAATGGGTCAAAAAAACAGAATTTGGATGGATCTTGTCCGGTACCATAATAAAAGAAGAAAAAAGAAACAACAAACGCATAACGGTCAAAAGCATGATGACAAGAAAAGAAAATTGGCAAGCTGCAAGAATTGGGAGACCTGCTTCAAGACCAAAACAAAATCCACCGACACTTCGAAAAATGGCATCAGTTCCACTCACACCCAAACCAACCACGCGGCCGGTGGTGGCAAATTTGGCTACACCAAAAATCCACCAACAGTTAACACCAATAAATGAAGCCATGGTCCAGGCTCAATACACCAAAAGAATTAGAAAAGGAAGAAGAAGAAATACAGTCCGAACTTCAAGAAACAACGTGGCCAAAGATAACTCTGCACACCGTAAGATTCAACGTCATCATCAGAAGCATCATCCTAACAACGATCACTGCTCCAATCTGGGCAGCATGGTTCTTTATTCAACGAAGAAGACAACGGACGCAACTACGACCTCAAGAAGAGGCTGTCGAGATGATGCCCATCTACCCGCCAAGAGGACCGTAATATATTATCAATCCATACCATTGCGTTCCCAGTGCAACCCTTCTACAAACCCCATCGCCCCTGTCCATTTCGAGAGACCCAACATGTTTAAATCCTAAATTTAAATAATAATTTCTAAAATTTAAATTTCCTCTTTACGTCACCAATAACGAGGTCAAGACCAACGAGGCGAATGTAGAACGCTGAAACATGGAATTGCAAGCACCAGAACTACGAAACGCTGACGACCACAAGAGCACCATCGTCAGCGTTACGAAGGCAGCGGTAATGAAACAAAAGAAAATACAAGAAACTGGGACGCAATATAATTTCATATGTCTTATTACCTTTAGTTTAGAACCACTCACACGCTGTAAATAGTTAGTTTTGTATAAATAAGTTAGGTTGTTTTGAATAAAACCAGTATTAAGCTTTATTGGCTTTTTACTCACTCCCACAATTCTACCCCAGAATTGTTCATAAATGAACCCTGTTAGACTTAACAATGAGTCACTTTTAGGTATGTCTGTGTGTAAAGGTGACAGTGGTGGAGGTCTAGTTTCCAAATTTGAAGACAGGTACTACATCATAGCAGTTGTCAGTCTTGCTCCACAAGCACCCTCTGCTGAAGGTGGATGCAACAGTCAAACATATGGTTTATACACCAGTTTTTCTTATTACCTCGAGGACTTCATAATTGACATAGAAGCTAGATTCAGACCGTACGTAACCGCTACATTTCGTGTAACCAGTTTGATTTCATAATTTTAAATATAGCTACGCACATGTACCCTGCCCCGATAATAATTGTGTGGTTCCTTCGACACAATCGCTGCCAACTTCTGTGATAGTTCCATCAGCAACAACGCCAAAAACACTAACAACGTATGTATGAACACGCTGTAATGTTAATACAATTTTAGACAAATATATAGATCTACAGGTTGTACCTTGCCCGACTATCCTGACGAAGGTAGCTGGATTATTGTTGGACCGTCTTTAAACAATTTTGTACCTGGAAAAGAGGTACCACTAAGAACTCGTTTAAAAGTAGTATGTAAACGAAAATACATTCTTGATGGGAAACAATACGTGGTTTGTGATAATGGGCACTGGTCACCCAAGGTTGGAGTTTGTTTACGTACGTAATGTTTTGTATTTTACTATATAAATTTGTATGAAGGTACCTTTTTAAGTAAACATTTAGATGCCAAATTTTTTTAATAATGGTAGTCAATGTTCTTGGTTTTGCAGCTACCAACATCACAGTCACCACATCACCACCAAGTAGAAGCAGACATGGCATTCCACCTTTAGAAGACAAGCATTTAAATCTTTATTAATTTTTAATAAACATATTTTTATTAGTATACTTAGTGTACATTACATTTTTTAACTAAAATACTTTTATATATACATGTAGATACGGCGAAGATAAAGATAATGGAGGTTTAATTTTCAAAAAGAGGTACTCTTGTATTAAGATCTGGTCCTCGTTCTTCGTCGTTGTCAACACCACATCGATTTCTGCGTCTCTTTTTCCATATATAAAAGAATACCATAAAGCCTACTACAAAAATAACAGCAAATACTGTTGCTATTGCTATTATAGCCCTGACGATGCGAGTTTCTGAAAAAAATATACCTGCACTTAATACGTAATAGGTATAAAAAGTAGATATATTTTTATATAAAAATAATAATTGGACTAAATACAGAGATAAATAGAGGAAGGAGAAAATAGACAATAATTGAAAAACAATTACTATAAATTATTTTAGGATTTGAAAAGGAATTAGCAGTTTAAACAATAAAATACTCACTATTTTGATATTCCATTCCTTCAAAACCCCAAGCGCAGCTGCGTGCAGTATTTACACAAAATCTGTAATTTTCACAAAACTTGGAGTCTGCACCCACGATCTCCTCACAGCTCATGTCACAATTTTTCTCAAGTTTTTCACTCTTTTCATTATTATTTACCTCATCTTTGGCCATATTCAAACCATAGCAGGTGTGATTTACCACCTCTGAAGAGTTTGACGCTGACTTGTATGTGTACGTCCCTAAACAAATTTTAAATCATTGCAGATTTTTCTATTTCAACACAACAAAAAACTACACTCACCGAACCCACTTCGAATATCAGGATACAATTTTATATCAAGTCCCCAAAATCCGAGACTTTCATTTTCAGTGGTCAATTTTCTCAAAAAAGTTAGGCTAGCACCGTTTGTTAGGTCTATATCAATTTTAATTTGCTGCCAAGGTTTCAGCATAGATTGCTCATTTTCAGTCGCATTAATAATAATCTGTCTTGTTTCATTATTGATATTTATCTCCAGTTCTAGTGAACAGTTTGTACAAAGTGATGTATACAGAAACAAACCTGATTTGTTGACTGGTGGAATGATTATGGTACTTGGTGCTTCGCTAACGCGCTCAGAAGTCATCGGTGAGTCTGAAAATTGATAATCTGATTACAACTGATCTGATTTAATTTAATATAAGTAATTACAGTTGTGCTTTTTCCAGTAAGTGGTTTCATTTGTGACAACCACAACTACAGTTGGATTCAGATCGTCCATGTTCAATTCCTGAATCAGATGATTGTTTTCAAAAACAAAAACAATGTTGTTTTGTAGTACTCGTAGTACTGTGTAGTGAATCCACGAAGTAGTACTTTTTGGTTCTCTGTCATTAATAAGACGTTTACTTTCTCCGTTGCTTATAATAAACATGCTTATTTGTTTGGGTTCGTAAACGGAAAAAGATTCCGCAGCTTTAGTTGCATCACACGTCAATCTTTGTGTGCGAACAGTCGGAAAATCTGAAAACAAAAAAAAAATAAGTTGTCAGAAAATACAATGGGTATTAATGACAGAGGGATTGGTAAATTATTTAGGGACTTTTGTGGCTAGTTACCTTCCCAGCGCTTATCGGCAATTGCGGCGTAATTCATGGAATTTCCATTTTGTAGTATCCAATCGCCATTTTCCCATTTTTTCTCAAATATTCCATTTTCCATCTCTTCTGACAATTCTATTGGTGGTCGAACGTCAATGGTTTCTTCTATAGGTGCAAGACAAGTAACTTCTTTCCCATGTTGCAGTGTAATGACGTTGCAAGGTATGGCTTGTACTGACCAACCACAAATGGCACTAAATATTACGAAATACAACATCATGACGGTTTTATGCGATGACGACTGTAAAAGTTTGTTCTTTGCAGACAAGTAAAAATTTCAATTGGATTAATATATGCCAATAAAGGTAACGATAAAGACATCACGATATTATTGCACTGGTGTCAAACGTAGAACTGAATTGAATAAAAGTAAATACGTAGATATGAGTACTTGAGTCACTCATATACTTAATTACGTAAGTCGTACTCTACCCAATCGCTTTTCAAAAAAAGGCACTTTTAATCTAGCAAACAATAAACTGATATTTATAGAAATGAAAACATGCAGGTCTTTAAGGCAAAATAATTATATTTTAATTTGTTGTGACGTTAACACTTAAACATAAATTTGTACCCATTTCCTTGAGATCCTTATCTTCTGTTAATTTTGCGTCATATGATGGTTTGTGCTATTTTTGACGCGAATTAATACTTAAAAATAGTACATACATCAAAAGCCAAAAATAAATAAGATAAAACTATAAAGTATTAAAGACGAAAATCATTCAAAATTGGGTTGCGCTTTATTGTCTGTTTCATCAAATAAAGAACAGTTTGTGTTTGAGTTATACTTTCTTTTCCATTTCCTTTTTCAAGACAAATATAATTACAACTTTTTTTTTATTTCTTCCCCAGGGCTGATATTGTCAATAATATTGTGATTTTAGATTTCGAATCGACTATTTTATTTTATTAGGTCGATGTGTTGCAATAAATAAGGTAAATATAAATAAAAGACCGTACGACGCACTTAGATATCAGCTTGAAGTAGGTAAATACTTGCGAAAATAAACTAAATGAAAAAATAATATTTAAGTAGGTTATCGTAAAAAGTTCGTTACTTTCAAAGTGGTAAATATACCAGTTATCGACGTTTACGAAATTTCCATGTATGGTAAAAGTTCTGTCGTTTTGACGAATTTTGTTCTGATAGACGTTAAATTAATCTAAGCAATTTTTTTAGTATGGAAGTACCTAATGTTAAGTTTCAAAGAGCCAGACACCGCGAAGAAACCATCTTTACAGTGTAGTTTTATATTATTACTAATACTTTCCTTTACATTTTCGCTAACAGTAATCTGTCACCGCTTTTTTCTCAATTTTTATAATTATATAAATTTGGTCGAAAGTTATTTCGACTGGACCTCCCTCACTTTCGAAGTACAGTCCAATAAATCCCGCTTCTTTGAAATAATAAGTTGATTTTTCGATTTTTGTAGAGTGAAACTTCTTTATAACGAATAATCGCTGGAGTTTCAAATTGTCTCTTATAGGAAGACGTCCGCCCATGGGACATTAGGAAAAAGACCAATATATCTATATGATCTAAAAAACTTATCGACCGATAGCAATTATTTCTAATTTTGCAAAGATATTTGAGCAGGTGATTTATGAATCCATCCTGAATAATGTTCGGGCCTATATATAGTTTTGGAAATTTCATTGTACCCTATAAAATTTTATTGGCCATAACGAGACAGACAGTAGTACAATAGCAAGAGATGTTTATAAATTAAGTTGTCGCGTGCCGGTAATCCCCAGATGTTAGAAAGCAGAATAATCCAGGTCCGGACAGGGACCATCGTTACTCATGATCGGAAATGGCCATTATTTTATGAGTAGAGTACCTGCTAAATGTTCTCAGATAAATTCGAGTTAACTGGTGTGAAAAATTTTATTTGGGTAGAATGAAATTTCCAAAACTATATCTCAAAATCAGCACGGTTTCTTGCCTGGAAAATCTACAACCACCAATTTTATAACTATTACCCAGTTTATCTGTGAGCAACTTGGCGCTAACCGTCAGGTAGATGTTGTATACACAGACTTCTCCAGTGCATTTGACCCTGTGCATGGATCATTTGCAAACTGAGTTCGTATGGACTTACAAGGTCATTTATTTCTCTCGTTGAATCTTACCTTTGAGATAGAATAAATTATGTAATCTACAATGGATCTAAATCAAAAGATTACACCCCAACATCAGGTGTCCCGCAAGGCTTCAACCTGTTTTTTGCCCTATTCATCAACGACCTCTCGGAGTTACTTAAATACGCTGATAATCTAAAAATATTTGCTTCCATTTCCACCGTTGCTGATGTAAGATTTCTGCAGGATAATTTAAATATTATTGCACAACATTGCACACAACTCTTTTATCTAGAGTTTTTCTTTTAGTTATTAGGTAGGTATATTTATTTTAAAATCTTAATTGGTATTTTTGTATGCATATACTAATAATATATATTGTTTGTGTATATTAATGTGTTCACTTTATTCTATATGTTGTGCTCTAAGTGGGTTGTAACCTGTTGGGCAATAAAGTTGTATTAATGTTATTATTATTATTAATATTAATATGTTATAATTAAACCGAGAACAGTTTTCCTACAAACATGAAGTTATTAAAAACGATTCAATTTGTTTAAACATTCTTAAATTAACCCCGAAAAAGTGCAATTTTCCGGCTAAAATTTGAAAAATAATTTTGGCAATCTCATCCTGGCGTACGATCACGTCACTGTTACGTGAGCTACCTGAGCAAAGGTCACTATTTCGTTCCTTTTTTTTAAGTTAAGTAAAAATAACGCGTTTTGCGAATTTCTAATGTATTGCTAATAAATGTTAGTGAAATTGTGCTGTATTAGTGCAATGAACATCAAGGAAACTGGATATTTTTCCAAAAAGCCCCGAAAATCTAGTAAGTACGATTTGAGTTTTAATTTATCGGGGTCCGTCATTCAAATATTCGACAAATATAAAAACATTAAAAATTATCATAACAATAAACAATATTTAAACACAAATAACATTATTTATACAGCTTAAAAATGATAAGATTAATATGTCATAATTAAACCGAAAACCGTTCTCCTACAAATATGACGTTAATATAAACAATTCAATTTGTTTAAATATTGTTAAATTAACCCCAAAAAATGTGCAGTTTTCCAGACAAAATATGAAAAATAATGTTTGCAATCTCATCCTGACGTACGTTGGCGTCAGTTTCTCGTGAATTACCTGAGCAAAGGCCACATTTTTCGGTTCTTTATGTTCAGTTTTGGTTTGGTGGCAGCAACATCGGAGCATTACGGTGTCAATCGTTTTTAAAGGACGGCGTTGGAATTGATAAAGTACGGCGTTCATAATTTACAAAATGCGGTGTCTTTCACCGATGCTAGCAAACCCGAATCCCCTCTATTCATGCCAAGACGCACTCCAGACCTCCTCGTATTGTTTGGTTCTTGCCGAGCAACAGCAACGAGCGAGTACAGTCATCGCTATTTGGCGGCAAACGTGGAGTAGTATATTGTAACTTTTGTAATTGAAGCATTATTATACTGTATTAAATAAATAAATAAATGTATTTATTATCCAACAGACAGACAGTCCTATAGAATAAATGCATTGTAATATTATCATTATAATTATAACATGCCTCCTAGAATCGACTACATATATTATAAAAAGAGAAAAGAAAAAAGAAAAATACAAACAGGAAATATTCTATGATACAACATGAATAAGTACCTACATAATTAACACAATATAAGCTTTTTACAATTTCGCCTAAATGTTGTTACGTTATATTGGAATATATCTAGGACAGATGCTACAACATTGTAACAGCGACAGATATTATTTAACGGTGCATAATAATGTTGGTTTGTTCTGCATGTATCTATTGAAAATGTTTCATGATGTCGACTATTTAGACGCGGGACTAGAAAATGGATATCGTTGAGAAGTTTGGTGTTTACAATGATACCATGAATTAGCTTGAAAAGAAAATAAATATTACCAAACGTTCTTCTAGCTTTTAGTGTACAAAGATTAAATTCTTTTAAGAGAATATCATTAGGATATCTCTTACAAAATTTTCTCTGTATTCGTTCGAGCGACGCAATATGAACATCATAATATGGATTCCATATCATACTACCATATTCTAATTTAGCCCTAACATATACATAGTACAGCGTTAACAATGCTTCAGTGTTTCTAAAATGTACCGTGTTCCTATATATAAATCCCATCATTTTTGTGGCATGGTTACATAAATATTGTAGGTATGTGTGGTACAAATGTCAACTGTGGATCTAGAACAATACCCAGATCTTTAATTTGATTAACTTTGTCAATTGCTGATCCATTCAAAGTATAATTGTAATCTATATTCGAAGTTGTCCTAGAAAAAGTAATTACTTTACATTTAGATACATTAATTTTCAGAAAATTTGTTGTACACCACGATTTAAAACCATCTAAATCTGCTTGCAGTAGTTGACAGTCACCAGTAGATTCTATACGATTAGCAATTTTTAAGTCGTCCGCATAGACAAACACTCGACAACGAAATAAAGACAAAGCATCGTTAAAGTACATAACAAAAAGAATGGGTCCTAATGTTGATCCTTGTGTAACGCCACTATCAGTATTATACAATTGTGAGCGGTATCCATGATATTCGACAAATTGTTGCCGGTTGCCAAATAGCGACTTAAATAAATTTATCAGATTGTTACATAAGCCAAAAGTGTTTAACTTCCTAATTAGGATACAATGGTTGACCACGTCAAAGGCTTTGGATAGATCAGTATATAACACATTGACTTGTTTCTTAGAATCTAATACACTGGATACATATTGAATATATTCACAAAGGTTCGTCGTCGTATCTGCCCTTAATAAAACCGTGTTGGTTGTCACTACTTAGTCATGCATGCTATGTGGCTAGATACATTTTTTGCTAAGATGGCTTCAAAAATTTTTGCAAAATTCGAGATAATCGCTATTGGTCTGTAATTTTGAACATCATGTCGTTCAACGGTTTTATGAATAGGAACTACCTTTGTCGTTTTCCACATCTTCGGAAAAGTTGCTTTCTGAACTATGATATTAAACAAATGACATAATGGTTGACATAAACAAGAAATACAGCCTTTCACTAAAAATGCAGGTACACTATCAGGTCCCATTGTAAAATTTGGTTTAATTTTCTTAAGAGCTTGGTAAATATCACAGATCGTTATCACAAAATTATTTAACACTGGAAACATATCACTAGTATTATCACAGAAGCTTGAATTATCACAGGGAATGTCACTAATGAAGACCGAACTGAAGAAATCAGCAAAGGCATTGACGATAT